CAAGTGAGGCCAGCATTCAGGCTTTCAGCGACTGATATTTAACCGGCGTGCAATATCTAAAGAGCGCCAATTATTTTATAGTATCTAATAATAAATATATCAGCCTATTTAAGGTGTTAATTACTGTAAGACAGGCATGCACACGAAATTACCCGCAGGGCGCTCGCGTGCCCGCAAGCTTTTCACGGGCTCACATCTATTCTACTACAGGCCTTTACAGTTGTTGAAAATAAATGGTAGTCATAAGTAAGAGAGAACCGTATTGAACAAATAATGAAATAAGGAGACTCCTACTAAACGTCTAAAGTTATCCATGGTACACATGATAGAAGTATATTAAGCTTTGAAAGACAAATACTTTGATTAATAAGTAGCTGAATACAAGGTCACTTTGACCTATAACAACGTCATTAAAATTTATATACAAAGTTTAAAATATATTTAAATATAACCAAGTATATACACACCGTAAGGAATATGTACACATATAAATATACAATTTATACTGTTATAAAATTTATAAAAATATAAAATTTTATTTAAACCGTAAATCATACATTATGTCGGTAAAGGTTAATTAATCCAGATATGCCGAATGCTCCATTCGGCGTGCGAATATTGATCAAATTGTCATTCTTATTCTTTCCCTTTATTTCTTCGTTTAACATGGAATGTATCAACTGAATTAGACGAAAGGGTTACTTATAAAATAACAATAGAGCAATTGCCCAAGTGTGGCAACAATTGAACGTAATTGAAGTGAGTCATGGTACCCGTCCAATCTGACTCGATCCCTGAACTCGGAAAAGAAGGTCAACGATACTTCATTCAATTATGTTGTGTATGTCAGACTAATTGTAATGTAATTCAGCTGATTTCGTTCAACGTCTTCTGTATGATGGTTATTCATTGCGCAAGAACATTCTTCGCTTAACATATGCGAAAGGAAGGTACAGACTATATTCATAAAGGATAGCAACAGAAACTAAATAATTTTGGTATTGAACGAAAAAGAAAAATTCCTACGCAGTAACAAAGACTTTAGTTACTTTGCCATATAAGCGTAGAGTAGATCTACCCAAATGCGTTAAATACTGCATAGAATGAACTTTTGCTATACTACTATTTCTAAGAATGTTCTGCTCCTACAGTTTCATCTGCGACAATGTAACAAAATAAATTAAACAATTTTTCAACGAAAAAATCCCAAGACAGATTTGTAGTTCCAAAGCAATAGGCTATAGCATGTCCATCATTTAGGTTTGCTGTGTAACGTTCGCTTAACCCTTCAACAGCGTAGCGCGGATCAATCGTGATCCAAAGTTATAAAATGTATACAAACGTATAATATTAAGTTAAAATTGAGATTCTCTTCGTGGTCTGCCATCCGAGGATTAACAACGCATTTCTTAGAACGGATCTCCGTTAAATGCTTTTCTTCATAATGATAATACGTTAAAAACAATGATCAACGCCCGTCGGAGACTTCAGAAATATAATCAAATACACAGACTCGATAATATTAAATCTTTCTACCTCGATCAAAAAACGCATATTTTACCTTAGACAAACATGCTAAAATCTTTTAAAAGAACTGATTCTACATTCTGGGCTACGTTCAAGGCAGCTAACTCTCACAAAACCCCCAGGGTAATCTCTCCGTTGGAGGACTCTGACAGTAACATGACTTGTACTGAGAGAGACAAGGCGGAGATCCTTGCCCGCAACTTCAGTACGGTGCACTCAACGGCAACGGCACTTTCTTCGCCACACGAAAGCGAGGTCAATAAAATTATTGTCTGTTTACAATATCTTCCAAACCATTGTGCTATCAGTTCATGGCTAACACCAGCTAATATCACAACCAATATAAGAATGCTTAAAAACCGCAAGGCCCCGGGCCCAGACGGCATCACAGCTTCTATGCTCAAAAAGGCTTCTGGTAGGGTTATTTTACAACTTTACTATATATACATATACAGCATCTATTAACAAATCCTACTTCCCTAACGCATGGAAAATAGCCAGAATGGCCCCAATTCTCAAAGCGAATAAACCTTGCGAAAAATTAACCAGCCACAGACCAATTAGTTAATTCAATATCAACAATATTTTAATCCCGCAATAATTCGGGTTTAGACAGGGACATTCCACAATACATCAAATCACCCGAGTATCCCAACAAATCACTCACGAGTTGAATGTAAAACGCTGTGCTGTTATGATTCTCCTTGACCTTGCCAAGGCCTTTGATACTGTCTGGCACCATGGCTTAATATTTAAGTTGCATCGTCATAATGGACTCCTGAAACTTATTTACTCCTATCTTACCAATAGGTCGTTCTATGTCCAATTAAATGGTGCACGTTCATCCTACCACAACATTTCCGCTGGTGTCTCGCAGGAATCGATCTTAGGTCCTATCCTTTTCTTCATTTATATTAACGATATCCCCATATCTAAGATATGCGAAATTGCTTTATTCGCCGACGACACAGCCATGTACACTACTTCCTTTCGTTTCCTGCCTGCTGTCTCAAGAATCCAGGCATACCTAATCCAAGTCTTAAAATTTTTCAACGATTGAAAACCATTAATGTTGACAAGACTGAAGCTATTTATTTCTCTCGCAAAAAGCATCACAATAACCACAATAGTTTATGTTCCGTTCTCGTTGAGGGCACCTCAACGCCATGGTCCAAGAGTGTTCGTTATCTAGGAACCTTGCTTGACGAGCACCTTAGATGGAATGAGGAGGCGCTAATCCGTATTGTAAAGGCAAGCAAGGTACTCCACTTTTTATATCCTCACCTCTCGAACGGCTCTTCTCTTTCTGTCGTAATAAAATTATGTATTTACAAAATGTGTATTAGACCAGTACTCACATATGGTGGTCTCTTTTACCGACAACCACAAAAAAGAAATTTCAAGTTTTCCAAAATAAAGCTCTCAAAATTATCTACAATAAACCTAGACGTTTTTTAAGAGGGGAACCTCATGTAAATGGTCCGTTTTTCAAGAATTTTTTTTGGAAAATGTAATGCGCAGATTGATTTAAAATTTGAAGTGTCATTTATTAACGTTATAATGTAAACAGAAATATTTTTTATAAACTTTAATTCTTAATAACGATGGTGCAATGGCGGCTTGAAAATGGCATCCTGTAAATTCGCCGTGCAGCGTACAATGCATAAAAATGATCTGGAACAAAAAAATCAAAATGGAATAGCTACTTTATGCAAAAACGCTCAGCATGACATTTTTCTTTTATTAAAATTTTCAAAATTGCGAAAATGGCAAAGTTTTGAAAAAAAAAAACCCGGAGTTTCGGTTATGAAAAATTGTTAATAACAGTATTTTAAATAAAAAATAAAGAAATCGGAGCTCGTCATGCTAAGACCAATTGTTTATAGAATATATATGCCAAGTTTCATAAAGATCGAGTAATTAGTTTTTGAGCTACGTTGCACGACATGCGAAGTTTTGAGTTTCGAGAAAAATGCGTTTAAAACTTGAGTAACAGAAAAATCGTGAAAAAATCGTAATTCATTTTAAATTGCCGCGGCTTTTTGTTAATCTGCGATTCCAGGGCCATAGAACAGATCTTCCTCTTCCTCAAAAGGTTGTAATTCAGCCGTTTTTTCAACACTGTTAAAGTCAAATTTTTTAGAAGCTTTCCGCCGTCTGGGACGATTCGGACGATAATTAGGATTATAATCTTGCACCTTTCGACTCATTTTCAATTTATTCGTATTTTAAAAGGCTCAGTAAACGATCAATTTCCCTCAAGAGACGCTACTGAACTGACAATGAGCGAGGTCCCCTCGCCAAAGGGGCTTCTTTTGCAAAACCGTTATACACACAAATGTACACGTACAGACGCCATAAACGGCAATGCTTTGGTGGGGATAACAACTGGTGTACAATAGTATAGGTTTTAACACAGTCAGATTAAAAAGGGACCGAAAGACCGAGCGTCCGACGAGGGCCCGACTACCTGAGCCGCTCCGCCCAATACAACCGTTCACTTTATTTTGAAAATAACATACAAGAACATCTCTAATCACTTTCTAACTTTTTTTATCGCATTCCCGAGGAAATTTCCTATCGATTTAAGCGAAAAAAAAAAATGCTAAAAAATTTCATTTTACATGAGGTTCCCCCCTTAACTAAAACACTTCATGCCATGGCCTCAATACCGACTGTACACCGAGTTGCATTGAACTTGTCGCAGTGAAGTTGGCCACGCATTCACTCACCGACGCGGCGTAAATGCGTTACTGAATTTATAGCCAACTTCACTGCGACAAGTTCAATGCAACTCAGTGTACATGAATTTATCACTAACATTTTGCAAAACTACAGTGTCAAGGTTCACCCTAATCCGCTTGTGGAAGGAACCTCTGCTTATGCTTTACACAAAATCCCATATAGGAGGATTAAAGTCCCATTTCCGATGACGTGGATAACATAAGTATTGCCTCATTATTTCTTTTTTCTCTACGATTACTTTGCATAATTATACAGGTTAAGAGTAGCCGTTGTTTTACAAATTTTTCCTCATAATTTCTTGTCTTCTTAAGCTTTACTTTCCTCTGGTAACACCACCCAAACTATCCAATTTTCAGCCGGTAAGCAGGCCGTCGCCTGCAGATACGGTATCTTGGGCGGGACCACGGCGGAAAACGCTCCCCGTGCGAATGCCAATTTCACGCCAAAACGAAAAAAAAAAAAAGAACGCATCTAATGCGTGACTGTATTTGATACTTCCTACTTGATTGTTGCCTATCGCTGGTATAAATGACTTACTTGTTCGTAATTTTGTCGACCTTTGAGATGTAATTTAATACATATAAATAAAAACAAGTTGGTTTTGATTTTGATAGTGAAGGTAATAGAAAATTTTAAAACTTACATTTTAAATGGACATTTATTATTGTGTATATTTAAATCTATCCATTTCTTTCATTAAAATTATTTAACTGATATGTGCTTTTCAGGTACTATGATCCCCAAATCTGGGGGAGATTATGCATACATTAGCGATGCTTTTGGACCCCTACCAGCGTTCCTGTACCTTTGGGTCGCATTGTTCATCCTAGTCCCGACAGGAAACGCGATTACAGCTCTAACGTTCGCACAGTACATTCTGCAACCAGTTTGGCCGGATTGCGTGCCACCTTATGCCGCAGTTAGACTACTTGCAGCTGTTATTACATGTAAGAAGAAAGTTAATTTTCAATTTACATAGTTTCCTAAGTTTTTAAGAGAAATTAAATTTCACATTAAAAATGAAACATTTAATATCATAGTAATATCAATTTAATATCATAGTAAACCATTAAACGGTTATAATTTTTTAACTGAAAAGTTTACTTATCAATGGAAACTATACATGCAATAAGCATTTAGTAATACAAGTCAAAATTGTAGAAAACTTTAGCAACGATTATATTTTTGTGTGAAAATTTTTCTTTTGACTCTGTCAATTTCCGATTTAAAAACTTAATATTTACTTATTGGAGACGTATCTACAGAATATTCTAATCCTGCTGCAGTTCTCATTTATTCATTTTTATTCATAAAACAGGCCATTGGGTCTGTAATAAAGGGATTGTATGTACTCCTTATTAAAGCATCACAATGTATATCTCAGAATGTATAGTAGAGAGCATGGTACGCTTCCCTAGGGAAAATACTGAAGAGATATTGAGATTTTGAAGTTTGAATTTTGAAACCTTGAAATTTAATGTGCATATTAAATGTTATAATACTTAAAAATTATATTAATTTTATATAAATTAATCTTAATATTAATATCTTGAAAATTAAGTACCTCCTTTCTCTACATCGCCTTTTTCCCTAAGGAAGCCTACCATACTTGCTATTATATTTATTTAGAACTTATGTATTAGAACTTTTATCAATCTGTCAGTTTGTGTATCTCTATTAGGCCATTAAGCTTTACTCTAACCTTAACACTAAGTTTACGGGACGCGTAATTTTGGCACATGTCGAATTTCACAACGAAAATTACAGAAACCATTTACATTTCTCTTGTACCGCTTATGCTGACTTTTATCTAATTAAGATAGAGCACAATCCGTCAGATTAGTCCACTACGTGCGTAGTTCAACCCCATTTTACTCCGCGAAGATTTCGGCGCACTGCGCATCCTTAATTCGTGCGTGCGCAGTTTAAACCTATAAGTCCATCAATGAAATTGGACTTGTGCCAACACCTATTTAACTTACTATGAGTCAACTATGTATATATTTCAATCAATGTATATTTAAATTTATTTTGGTATATTTTACATTAACAATAAGTAAAAATATTTATATACTAATTTTGTTATTACATATTGAGCTTATTGATTATCGATATTTCTTTCATTTATAAATAAAAAGTACTCCTCTTGAGATTTACAAATTTTGAAGTCTTCGCGTTTCAATAGTAATTGATGTATTGTAAACTCTCCCTTATAATACATCCATCAGTACTTTCCGAATAACCAGTTTTAGGATCTTTCTCTGTCGCTTAATAACAATTCACGCATTGTAAATTTCTGGGAAAGTTCGCTGCACGATTAACGTGTACATATATTTTACCCCATACTGCTTACCTGTGTACTGACAATGAGTACTAAAGACGTACAGAACTATGTTGGAACAATGCCAATCCTATCCATAGGAGACGCAGGAGAGACGTAAAGGAACTACTCTTGGTCTTTTCTCACTCAAGTCTTTGTTTGGTCTTTATAATACATAAAAACCAGTATAACATATGCACTAATACAAACTGGTACATTTTCAATTTTTACAGAAAAAATGGTTCCAGTCGATAATAGTGTTTTGTATTTAAAAAAAGAAACCTACCCTTAACTCTTGAACAACGGAGTCTGAGTCAATATAGACCCCAAACTTACAAAACATATACATACAAAGATATTAACCTAAAGTTGAATGCATAATTTTTTAATGAAAGAATTTCATATATTGCAAGAATGATTTTTAAAGAAACAGTGTAAAATTTAAAAAATGAAAATAATATGAAATATAAAATTAAATTAAAATTGTGGCTCTCTCCATGGTCCGCAGCCCGAGGGTTAAAACTGTGTACAATGGTTTGTATTGTATTGATGAATTCGTTTACGTACTCTACAGTCCCATTAAGTTTAGTTTTTAAGTTTAATTGTAAATCTTCCTTATTGATTCCAACGTTAACACGTTCGAAGCTGAGGTAAGAGATAGGGCTGGATTGAAACAAGGAGAGCATACTTTACATTCAACGATTCTCAACTATGCAAATTATACTTATTGTTAGAATTAAATTTGGAATTCAACTATACCACCCAATAATACCACCCAAAGTCACATTTGAACTGTAAGTTGCATCGTGAAAGTGACATGGTCTGATATACACATAGGTAGGTCTACACATATGGGCCCGAATGTGTTAATATTTGGATAACGAAGCCAAATCGTTGCCAATTCAACGTGCGATTTAGAGTTTGGAGTTTAAATTCGTTTTGATTTTTATTTTTTAAATTTTATTACTTTTCGAACATATGAAAATCTTTCATTTGGAAATTTAAAGTGTCTGAAATTATACATCAGTTTATTCCTGCATTTATTTCTTATTGCCCCCGGTATTAATATAAAAAAAATTTGACATTTGCCGACCTCTTCAACTGCTAACACGTAACTTGGTGTATAACCCCTTGATGCGATTACAATAGACACATCCTGGAAGCATTATATCGAGAATTGTTGATGTATTCTATACTAATTTTCTCTCATTTAGTATATATAAAGAGAATTTATGAAATTATTCTTCTTACGATGGTCTCATTGCTTCTTTTTTCGCCTTAATTATACTTGAGATGTCAATGACTTACCGCACAAATATTGCATGTCCATCTTTTGATGAAATATGGGTTTTTATACGCAACAAATAATTCTTGATTGTTTCTTTATATTATATCAAAATCAAATTAATATCTATTCTATTTTATCTTGACAACATATTAAAAAATGAACGAAATCGGTGAGGTCGGTGAGATATTGATATTTATCATTACTTTTTAAATAAATATAATATTTTTAATTGTGAACGTTTCTAGTTATTATTCATTTTATTCTTTTTTATACAATATCATTCAGAATAATGTGTCCTCCTTCATTCTTACAATTAGCTTAATACAGTATACTCATCCTCTAAATATCACTATTGAATTATTATTATTATTTTGCAAATTTAAACTTATGTTATTAATTAAATACTAGTTATAGCTGTATTACATGTATGTATAAGATAATAAATACAGTGCAAGAAATATTTACTTAATTATAAAGTATCATTAGATTTTTAAACCTGTTTTTCTTAAACACATTAAACGTACAGATATAATATTTGTGCAATAAGCAATCGATATATTCCATCAAGTTTAAGTCAGGCAGTTGCGATGACCGAAAGCACCGATTTTATGCGTTTATCAATATTTACCAATCATTTATCACTGTCATACAGTAATATCCAATTTGTAGGATATTCAGTGGGATTTGTAGTAGTGAAGCTGTAGCAATAAAAGTAAAAAAAATTAATATAAATTGAAAAAATTGTATCATAAATAAAGCTAAAGGCAACTATTTGAAAAAGTTTTTGGGCAAATATATATAAATTTAATAGCAATAATAAAACAAATACTTTTATTATACTAGTTCCGTTCTTAGATGAAAAGTCGCGATTTATGGAAATTTTAATTACTTGCAACTTCTAAGTGCATTGACCGATCTCGATGAAATTTTCAGCACACGCATAACTTATTCGAATCTACGAAAGACGACAAAAAAATTGAAAAATTACCCTTCACTATTTTTTTTCACGATTTCAACAAATTGTAATTTTTTTAAACGACAAAAACACATATCTTAGTAAATCAAATTGTATAGCTTCTCGAGACACCTCAAGTCATTCGATCCAATTTTAAACGAGGTATTCTGTTTTAAACGGTGGACGAATACTTTTGCGGCATACGGTATGTTCTAACTGTGGTTATGAACAAGCGCGGCGGCAACACGACGACACAATTTGCGATTTGGTTTCCGAGATATAAGCAATTGAAAATTGGAATATCAACTTCCGTAGCGTGTGTTTCACTTCCGAACAGCTGATAGCTGAGCAGGTAGCCCATTCTCTAGTGTCCTGGGTCACAGTACGAACAAATAAACAGGTAAAAAGGCAAGGATGTGCACATTTCTATAGACCGTCCAACGAAATGAGTCAGTAAAAATGTAAACAAAACTGCTACGTGGTGTTCACGCGATGGATGTTAGCGGCTTTTATTATGGGCTGTCAAGTGTTGAGTTGAGGGCCAACTTTCGGCGGTCTCTTACCTTACTTGGGCCCTTACTTGGAAAGTCAGGAGGAGACTTAGCATTTTTCAAATACACACACCGCGATCATAGCAAAATCCCGTATATAGAGTACGTAAAAATTATTTGTCATGATTTTGGGAGATGACTTTACACCTATTGTTCCAAAAGAAGTAGCTTCTTATTTTTCAGTATGCAGGGATGGATATACCGTGAGCCGATCCTGCTACGCGCTTGAAAATTTGTATACATTTACTGACTCGTCTCGTCAAACGGACTATAGTCCTTTAAAACCATAAATGAGTCGTTGACCGCCGGATTAAACAAATGTGCATCCTTGTATTTTCACGTGACACTGACCCAGGATCTGCTCAGCTGTCAGCTGTTCGAAAGGGAAACATGCGCATTCGAAAGTTAATATTTCAATTTTCAGTACTTATATCTCAAAAACGAATTAACAGATTGAGCCGAAGTGGTGCCGTCACGCTTGTTCGTGACGACGACAGTTCGAACGTAATCAGTAGCCAACACTCTCGAGGTTCAGTCCACGCTCCTTCTAATCGGACAGTGTTTTTCGTTAATAATTTAAAAATGAAGCCTTAATCAACATTTTGGTAAAGGAAAAAGTTGTTCGGAATCACCTCAGCAGTCACCCTTCCAAGGGTCCTACGAACGTTTTGGAACATCTTGTGTACAGATTGTCTTAAAAAGGTGGTTACATATACTTTTACTCAGCGTCAAATCCAGGAGGAGTTTAAGGGGACCGTTTTAAGCCTTCCGTTTACTATGTAAAAATATTTCAAAATTTGAAATTCGCTATAATTTTGCAAATTTTGGACTCGATTGCTATTACAAAAATAACTCCATTCCTTTTAAACTTTTTAAATCATTAAATTATTAAGATATGTATCTTAAGACGAGATGTTTTATGCATCGAGGCTGCATTCGAACTGAAAACGGATCCCGGCCAATACGCACGAGATTTGAAACGAGTGTTTATGTTAGAGACCGTATTGCCTTATACTTCTTAGAACTGACATTTACATCGATGACTTCCAATGAATATCGAATTCATTTTTATTATTTAATTAATCCATTCTATATTAGGTTTTCAAATTAATTCAGTTCTTTTTATCAATTATAATTTAAAATTTTTATATTTTCCTTCACTTTTATGTACTTGAAATATTATTGATAAGTAAAAAAACATCATCAATAACAACGACGTTTATTTTAATATTTGAAGTAAATATAATTTTTTAGAGATAAATCTTCAATTTCTTTTCTTTTTAAAGCATCGAATTAATTCGCACAATATTGTATTCAAATGTACAGCGTTACTGTTGCAACTAACCTGACCTTATAATTTTATTCAAAGTATATTTCCCATTTTTCAAGTGCAAGAAATAAAATATAAAATTTTGTTTCATGTTTCATGAAATTATTAAAAATTAAATGTTTAAACTGTTATCGATAGGTTTGCTGACTGCTATCAATTGCTACAATGTAAAATGGGCGACTAGGGTGCAGGACATCTTCACTGGAACAAAAATTTTTGCATTATTGATCATCATGGCCGCTGGTCTCTGGTGGCTCTGCATGGGCCACACGGAGAATTTCCGGCATCCTATGGACGGGACCAATACACAGCCCGGTTACATTGCCTTGGCTGTTTACTCAGGGCTATTTTCTTATTCCGGATGGAACTACCTGAACTTCGTCACCGAAGAACTGAAAGATCCATACAAGTAATTATCATTCAAAATAAATGCGCTCTAGGTCAGGTAGGTATGCGCACGGAATTGTCCTACGATCGCTCGAGTACCCGCGTCCATTTCGCGGCCTATCGTCTACATTACTGCCCCCCCCCCCCCCCCCCCCCCCCCTCAAATCCATTATTATTACTAAAACTATCAAATGGATCAAAATGTCAGCTTTCTGGTTGCTTATTTTAAATTATAGAATTTAGTAAAGGGCTTTTATTAAAATGTATGTTAACTGTTTTTCAGATAAAACATTATTCTATGCGTTGGAATATGTTTCATTCTTTATATGTATGAAACAATTATTTGTTTTACATTTCATTTCATTTTATGTAATCTGTGACCTGTTTGAAATGGCCAACCCTGTATACGCGCATTCACGCTGTGAATGTATATATAGTGGAAAAAAACACTTCGGAGATAAGGGCATATTTTTCATTCTTTTGTATGATGTTCATCGGTTAAAGTGCTGTATCAGAATCACAACAGTAAAGGAGGAAGTACAAATATGAGATAGGGTAGAAATATGAAGTACCAAGGTTTTAATCCGTACGCCGTAATGTGACACTTTTAACAATGATTGTGCATCAAGTATTACGACGTGTAAAACACTCTCTCATAACAACCATTCTTGATAGGTATCATTGTTTTGTTTAACAATTGTTTCAACTTTAGGCCGTAATAGAAAGTTCTTACGCGTGCTTGTTAAAGTAAAGTTTACTTTGATTTATTTTGTTAGTTTTAAAAAGCAAAACGATTTAGATATTCTAAATTTTGCGATTCGGTTTCGACCTATGTGAACCAGGCACCCGACTTTGAAAAATTCAATTTTTTCAAATTGCATTGGATTCCCCTTCGTTTGTACCCGTTTATACCAGTTTCGGGTATAGTTCCGAATTGCCCCGGTGGGGGGGGGGGGGGGGGGGGGGGGGGGAGAAGACCCCAAATGTGAAATGGTATCCACATCAGTCCAGTAGTTTCGGAGATATTAATTAAAAACTTTCGCAGAATACATAGAATTCTGCCTATACCGACATGACTAACACAACCATCCCCGCTGTAGAAACCGTGGTCGTCAAGTGTCAAGCAGCCGATGGCACAGTAGGGGGTCTCTATTTGACAATGAGTATCAAAAGGGTGTCTCTATAGTGACATATTTTTATTTGTATCTCGTATTTGTATCTCGTATTTGTATCTCGTATTTGTCATTGGTGTATTTTGTATTACAGCATATTTAATATTTTATTCTGCATTTTTGGTAAGCGAGATAAAATAATCTCAATTTTTTAAAATAATTATTCTTGTGTTTTAGGGCGGGGGAAGGGCTTTGCTCCTTCCCCTGCACCCCCGTTCCGGAAAACCAAACCCAACCTCACCTACTACGGTTTGATATACATACGTAGATGAACAAAGTGTTACCTTCTGTTCGCATATGTAAGAAGATAGTTATGCTTGTGACTGTGTTTTAGGTCCACACTGATGGGTAAAATTCTGTGTATTAGTAAAAAAGTTGTTTGCGAATATCTCGACAACTTGTTATTTCCATCAAAAACAAAAATTATATTCGTATTCAGCACATCAAAACGAGTAAAACGACGAGATTAATGTAAACGTGAGCCATATAAAACACTCTGTAGATACTCAAGTCGAGACCCCCTACTGTGTCATCGGTTGCTTGACACTTGACGACCACGGTTTCTACAGCGGGGATAGTTGTGTTAGTCACGTCTGTATAGGCAAAATTCTATGTATTCTGCCGAAAGTTTTTAATTAATATCTCCGAAACTACTGGGCTGATGTGGATACCGTTTTACATTTGCAGTTTTCTCCCTCCCCCTCTCACCCCTCCAAAGCCCATGTCGATCGGCCACCAGGGCAATTCGGAACTACAGCCCCAGTTTCCTTTCCGTTTGTACCTTAAGGGGTAAAAAGATATAAGGGGGCGAGAATACCCTAGCACCCCACTTTAACATTTTTTATTTCTCTCATCGCCATAAAAAAAAGAAACGTTTGTACCCGTTTGTACCACCTTCACTTTCGTTTGTACCCCAAGGAGTTGGTTTGTACCGATTTGTAAACAAACTCCCAATGGGTAACCAGGAATTTTTTATTTATATCATTTAACAATCATTAATTATATGCCCAATTTCCTTCCGTTTCATGAGAAGAGAATTATCGCGTTAAACTTATTTTGCAGATGGTGTGATAAACTTTTACAATGCTTTGAATGATAAATGTTATATTTTCTCAATAGTTCTTTCATTAATCATTCGATATGTTCCATTGCGAATATCACTCAAAATCGTACATTAAGTATATTTGAAAATGATGTACAGATTACCAGTTGCTATCTTTTGTGTAAGATAGAGCCTTCAGGCTTTGCGTTGTTTTCTGTTACTCAGCATATAAGAGATCTCATTTATCTCGGATAGTTCTTTTCTTTTAACGATCCACTATAGAGTTTCCGACTGACGCATAGGAAATGAAATTCTGTAGGTCGTAGACAGGTACAACAGGTACAAACGATTAGGAAACAGCACCCGCAAGGAGATTTGGAAAATCTTCAAAAATGGCGAAGTTACCTCTTGTGGTCAGTTTCAGAAATCGGTACAAACGAACCCCTTTGAGTACAAACGAAAGTGAAGGTGGTACAAACGGGTACAAACGTTTCTTTTTTTTTTATGGCGTTGAGAGAAATAAAAAATGTTAGTGGGGTGCTAGGGTATTCTTGCCCCCTTATATCTTTTCGCCCCTTAAGGTACAAACGAAAAGGAAACTGGTACAAACGGGTACAAACGAAGGGGAATACAATACAATTTTAAAAAATTGAATTTTTCAAAGTCGGGTGCCAGGTTCACATAGGTGCGGTTTCGATAAAGATTCTGGGGTAAGTGCCATGCCGTTCCTCATGGTCCTCCTACCAGAAGATGCAAGATCTTCCCCGTTCTATGGCCAGATCCTTCGAGATCACCCTTATCTCCCTACACCTGTTATGCAGCACCATGACTTCGGGTCATCGGCCACACGCGCGTACCTTTGAAGAGCGGCATTCGAACTCTCTATCGCCGATTCATAAACGTCAAGTATCAGCTACCGCCGCACCCAAGTCCAAAGCCCCAAATGCATTGACTCTGCCACGTGTCAGTCCTTGCACACGTGCTGATGCTAATAATCATAGTATTAGTATATCAAAGGATATTTGAAGTAGCTGTGTTTTGACTATGATAAATAACAGTAGATAGTGGAATGACAAATTGATAGAAATATGAGGTTGTAGAAAACTTGTAGAAAAGCTACTCCCTATCCGATTTTGATGATTTTCAAATATGTTGTAAAATTCGTTATTTTAAGCAATTTTTTTTCCTTTAAGCTATACAGGGTGATCCTCTCGCTAGTGAATCCAAAAGAAAGTGCCGCAACAATAGAATGAAAAAGTCGACATCCCATTTCTGTCATCGCTTACTTGACGGAGGTGCCCCTACAGCGGAGACGGCTGTGTGCGTGAAAATGTGTGTAATGAGCAGAAGAGACCCATTTAAACGCTGCGGAAAACAGAAAATTGTTTTAACACATTTTCACGCACGCAACCGTCTCCGCTACAGGGGCCACCTCCGTCAAGTAAGCAATGACAGAAATGGGATGTCGACTTCTTCATTCTATTGTTGTGGCACTTCCTTTTGGATCTACTAGCGAGAGGATCACCCTGTATGTCGGACTCGATCAGTTTGCGAGATTATCAGCTACGAGTACTACTACGTTGAATTGCGCCTGTACGTGTGTGCGTCGGCAAGCGACCATCGTTTATCTACTGTTTCTGTCAACAGCACCACATGGCCCAGCTACCGCCTATGTAACGAGTCAGCTTAAAATCAAAGTTAACTAGTAATTTCAACGGCAGCCGGAATATCAATGTAACCTTTTTTTTTTTATTTTTTTTTTCGTGGGGGAAATCTTCCAAAGACGCCCCCAGCCCCCCTGGGGTGGGTCCAGAGGTAGTGCCGGACTTTTACCGGCTAAATCCCCCACGGTGGCCTGCACTCGGGGTTAGGGAGGGCCCCGGGACCTCTGTCGAATACACGGGGGAGGGTCAAAGGTTAGACCCTCTAAGGCCACACACGACGCCGGCCACTCCTCAGGCCGCGTGCAATGGCGACCGAGGCCCCAGCCCCGGCCACCTGCGGTCCAGCGACTCCGCGAAGGAGCCGCCGATCTGCGATGACATCTACCTTGGGGGGGAAGTCGAAGCTCCCCCCCCTCCTCCTCCTCCTCCTGTTGGAGGCGGTGGGCAGAATTATCAAGGCCCACCGCCCCGTATATCAATGTAACCTAATCTAACCTAATCTAGGCATATAAGTAACGAAAAAAATTATATTCCGTCAACATTAGTATTAATCATTGTCCACCACAAGATTGTCTGCCATCCGTACTAATATTGGCGGTATTTTATTTTTTCTGATATTTATACGTCTATGTTAAGTTGGGTTATATTAGGTTAGGGTTAGGTTATATCAATATTGCGACCGCCCTTAAGCGGCCGGCCACACGAGTCAAATATTATAATTTAATTTTTTAGTTCACCCGTTGTTTAAATAAGAGCCGAAGCACATAGAGAAACGGTAGGCAAGCGAGCCGGTATACACACGGCCACGGGCGGATACGTATAGGCAGAATTCGTTGTAGTAGTAACAATATTCTTTCGCGAACAACCTCGCAAACTATTTGAATCCGACATATAGCTTAGAGTTCACAGGAAAATGTTGTTTAAAATGCCGAATTTAACAACATATTTAAAAATCATCGAAATCGGTCGGGGAGTAGCTTTTCTACAAGTTCACCAAATATGAAATACTTGTTTGGTAGTAATATGGAACAATCTCATATTATTATCATATTTTTAAGTTTATTACTAAGTAATAAAATTAACATATGAACATATAAAATGTGCATATTTTGTAATAAAAAATTTTCTGACGATTGTAAAGGCGAATTATGGATTTAATGCCTATCATACCACTTATAGGTAAAATAAAATAAACGGTTCGTTTAATTGGTTGTCATGTTATATTTGACATTCAGTTATGTTTAATTTATCATTTATAACTTTATTTAACCGACTTCCAAAAAGAAGGAGGTTACTCAATTTGATCAGTATTTTATTATTATTATTATTATTATTATTATTATTATTATTATTATTATTATTATTATTATTATTATTATTTTCATTTCATGTATGTGCGCCGATTACTCCGAGACGAATGGACCAATCGGAACGAAACCTTGGCTTCGATTTAGTATATGGGCCCCTTCCCCCAGGGGGGTGGGGTATATAGCCGGATAGCTTGGAGGATGAGGATCACAAATATGGTGATTCCAGGTGTCGAAGTCTTAAGGGGGCGGAGATATAGGGGTTGAAAGTTGCGATGAACTGAGGCTCCGATTTAAGATATGGGTTGTTCGCCCAGGGGGGTGAGGTATATAGTCGGATAGCTTGGAGGATGAGGATCACAAATATGGTGGTTCCAGGTGTCCTAACTCTTAAGGGAGCGGGGATGTAAGGGTTGAAAGTTGCGATGAACTTGAACTTCTATCGACCATATAACGGGTGAGCTTAAAATCAAAGTTAACTAATTTCAATAATTTTGACATTGGACTTGTGTGGCCGGCCGCCTGACGGCGGCCGAAATACTTGTGTCCCGTAGCCTAATTGAATCTGGACATATAAGTAACGAAAAAAATTATATTCCGTCAACATCAATACGGAACAACCTCCTTGTGATGCACTCAATTAAAAAAATAGAAAAAAAATGATTTCAAGCTCACCCGTTATATGGTCAGTAGGCGAGTCAGAAATAGTGGAGAAGCGACGGTCGCTTGTGGCGACTGAAATTCAAGTTCATCGCAATTTTCAACCCCTATATCTCCGCCCCCTTAAGACTTCGACACCTGGAATCACCATATTTGTGATCCTCATCCTCCAAGCTATCCGACTATATGTATACCCCACCACCCTAAGGGCAGGGGCCCATATACTAAATTGATGCCGAAACCTTTTGCATCTTGTAGAGTATGTCTCTCGATTGGTTCCGTTAAAAAACATTTTGCATTTTTTCGTTGTTAACGACTTTTATTGCAAAAAAAGTAATGCTTCATTTATATTTTTCGGCGTTTACTCTGCAAGGAATATACCGATCGCGATGAAACCTTTCACATTTAGTAGATGATCCTACTTGCACAAATTTATGAAATTTGTTATTGTTAATAACTATGTACTATTATAGCAAAAAAAAATATTTAAGTATTTAATATCCAAGTTGTTCTCTTTTGTTATTAATCAACTAAATTTCATTAGTATATTTTTTGTTTGTTTACGGTTATTACCTAAAGGCTGGATTTCCTTTATGCGTCGATCGCATGTGTCTTCATTCAGCGGCCGTGCTTGTTCGATTTTTTCTACTGACTTGCGGCTATATTGTTTTAAGACGCGTGCATTCAGTAAAAAAAATCAAACAAGTACATTCGCCGAACGCAGATGTATGAGATCGACGCATATAGGAAATCCCACCTTAACCAATAAGAACAGAAGACTACCTTGTGGTATCCTGCAAACAGTGCTCGTTCCGCTAAAAAGTGTGTAATAAAATAATTTTTAACAAAAAATACAAGGGACTTCGGGACGCGGTAAACAGTGTAAAATAATTTATATTTCATTTATACCAATACTCAACAACTATTAATAAAACCGATTTATTCGTTAAATAGTATACTAAATACATTTCAACATTTTCGGAGGCGGCGCAAAATTAAAAATTTTCTTCTATTAGGAAGATCCTAGTTCAGGTGTCAACTACATGTATATCAGAAGTATTACCAACTTCTGATACAAACGTTACAATTACAAATGTTATCAACCGTATCTATAACGTTCCGTATTTTTTCTTACGACTTATTAATTACCAAGTTCGCCATACCGCAATCAAATCGTTATTGACAGCATCGTTTATTCAGGTATTTTCAATTTTGCACCGCTTCCGAAAAGACTGAAATGTATTTAGTATACTATTTCACGATTAACTAGGTTTTATTAATAGCTGTTGGTTATGTTGCACTTTTTAGCGCATCTCGAAGTCGGTTGTATCTTTTGTTAAAAATTATTTTATTTTTCTAAAAAGTAACACTGTCTCGTAACACTTACTACCCGAAGTTCTATTAGCTCGAATTTGCCATTAATTAGAAAAAGTGAGAAAAACAGAAGTTCTATAAGGTCTACAATATTTATATTTATACAGCACATTCTGCATGAAATTTCCCAAATTTCTATGTTTGATATTTCTATTAATGACTATTCTAAGATTCTCTACATCGAAAAATATTCATACCTTCTCTTCTACATAATCATAGTGATTCCAATTATATTCCCAACTCTGTATACTGTGGTTCACCACCACTTGCGTATAAAGATTTATGCGAAAAAACTTGACTTATTATTAACTTTGTTATTCGTACTTTTCAATTGTATACTAAATTTTATAATATTTATTCATAAAAAATTACATTATTTTGTTTGTAAATTACTCTTAATATCGGTATCATCCAAATTAAGATTTTGAGAATTCCTGCTTCCCCTATATTACCATTTCCCTTAGGGAAGCCTACTTTGCTCAACATGTAATATACTACAACTATGTTGTAGCTCAAGGTATTCTTTTTGTGAGCTCAAAATCACAATAGCAATGAAACAAATAACAATAAATAAATAAAGAAAATATTCCCGATAATAACATAAAAATTGCAAAGAACAATCATCATGCTTCCAGGAATCTTCCAAAGGCAATTTGTATATCGTTGCCATTGGTGACTGTAATTTACGTTTTGGCGAACGTTGCTTACTTCGTGGTGCTTACACAGGATGAAATACTTGCATCGGATGCTGTCGCCGTTGTAAGTTGCTTGACATTTTAAACATTGTTTCCTGCTAATTAACTTGATTTAGAATTGTTTGGATAAAAATATGTGGAAATTCGAATTTCAATTAAATATGGCAAAACTTAACAAATAAATCATGCTTCTGTCTTGTTATCAATAAATTGAGATAAGCAAAAACGGCGTACTATGGAGAGAACCACATTTTTAATTTAATTTTGTATTTCATATTATTTCCATTTTCTTTTAATTTTCTAAATTTTATACTGTTCCTTGAAAAATAAAAAAAAATTCTTCCAATATATGTATCAAACTTTCATGTAAAAATTATACCCTCAACTTTAGGTTAATTTCCTTGTATACGTTTTGTAAGTTTGGGTCACGATTCACCCAGGTTCTGCTGTTTAAGGGCTAAATAATTCAACGAAAGAATTGATTAAACAACTGTTTATAAATTGTCTTTTTAGATCATTCAGAAAAATATGAAAAACGAATTATCTTTTTTCAGACGTTCGGCGATAAATTACTGGGCGTTATGTCTTGGATAATGCCATTTTTCGTCGCCTGTTCAACCTTCGGGGCGTTGAACGGTGCAATATTCGCATCGTCACGATTGTTTTTCGTTGGAGCTCGCAACGGTCATTTACCCGCTGCTATCGCCCTCATCAATGTCCGAAACTTGACGCCGATGCCATCTCTAATCTTTCTTGTAAGCCTCTTTTGTTAACCAACCTTTTGTCGTTCTTGATAAAAATATGAAATGATTCACAAAGAAACAGGATAAGCATTAACTTTCTAAATCAAAAATGAATCAGAAATCAAGGAAATCTCTCGAAGAAATTTAATAAATTTTATACAAACTAAGAGAACTTAATTATCATAACCTAGAAACATTGGCGTAACTAGAAGTTTTTGGTAGGAGTGGGCTAGGTCCAATAAAAATTTTTAAGTTCAGACATTTTCAAATTCTATACTTTTGAAAGTTGGAAATTATTAAATTCTTAATTTTTAGAAATCTGAAATTAAATAATTTCAGATTATTTTGAAATTCTGAAATTTTTGAATGTTAAAATTTTATAATGGTGAGTACAGCAAAATCTCTGTATATGTATGTATAATTGGCCGTATGCTGGGAAGTGAAAGTGAACAATAAGGGCAGAGCAGGGGGGATTTTTTGAGCCTCGCAGCTGCTTTTGATCTCCGGCAACAAGTCGTAAAAAAGAAAAATAGCATGAGCGCCGTAGCAGCCCAGAAAGTAACAACAGTTTAACTTTCTTATTTTTAGATTTTTCTGCATACAAATTGTTTTAACATATCGATACAATTTTTCTGATTAAAATGAGACCAAACATGGCATAATTTGGACTATATTGGCGAAAAAAAAATTCTCATTGGGGATGTTCCCTTGCACATAAAATAAGTAAATGTGACTCAAATTATATCGTGTTTGGTTGCATTTTAACCAAAAAAACCTCAACAATATATTAAACGAATTTGTGGGTAAAAAAAAGTAAAATTAAGAAACTTATATTTCTTGATTATGAACTGAACTCACTCGCCATAATCAATGGCAAAAATCCTGTTGTAAATCCTGTTGGGTTTAATTTAGGTTAGGTTAGGTTAGGTTAGGTTAGGTTAGGTTAGGTTAGGTTAGGTTATTTTTTTAAGTTTTTGTAGTTTTCTTTGCTCATTTTTGCTCCCGTAATAAAATCCATTCTGTAGAATCCCCAAAAACAAAATTTTTCTCAAAAAAAAATTTCCGCGCCACCACATTAATGTTTTTCTAACTTACTACTCATGAAAAGTTTGCCTGGTAATTTCTCAGTCAATTGGAGGGGGAACTCTTACCAAATAAATAAATACATATACAGGGTGTTTCGTTTAAAACAGGCCACCTAAATATCTCCTCTATCTCTGAAAATACAAAAAATGTTTCTGACGTAATCTAAATGGTTTCAAAAGACAAATCAGATGGACGAACCGTTTTTTATAAATTGTAATTTTTGAATCGTTTTTTTGAGGTCACTCGTGTTTAAATTTTAGAGTCCACGGTCACTTCAAGGTCATGCTATTAAACATGGATGAATGCATAATAATATTTGCTATAACATACAACAACAAAAAATGTGTGTACATACGTGAAAAACAGGAGTGACCTAGAAAAAACGATTAAAAAATTACAATTTATAAAAAACGATCCTTCCATCTGATTCGTCTTTTGAAACCATTTAGATTACGTCAGTAACATTTTTTGTATTTTCAGAGATAGAGGGGCTATTTAAGTGGCCTGTTTTAAACGAAACACCCTGTATATATGTATAGATTTGTATACTGAAAATGCTTTTTAAAAGGCCAAAAAAATACAATATTTCATCAATTTATGTATGTTATAATAAACTATCAGTATTTATGATACAATACAATAAGAGTTAATAGTGGTGGGGTTGTAGCAATAAATGTAAAACAAATTATATCATTAATAAAACTAAAAGTAATTACGTGTTCAGAAAGTGAACGCCATCCCCGATTTCAATGACTTTTAAATATTATCGTCTAGATAGTTAATTCCACAATTTGAACCTTTCAACGTTGGATAATTTGAAAATTTGGAAATTTAAAACTTTAATATTTCGCCGGTATCCGCAAACTCAGAAATGGGATGTCGACTTCTATATTCTATTGTGGCGGCACTTCCTTTCGGGTAGCGTAGCGAGAGGATCTCCCTGTAGTAGCCCTGCAGCCCTTAAGGCTGGTTCAGACACGGCTAATAATTTAGTCGAGTAGCGAGTAGTTTAGTGTATGGACACTACAGTTTAGTCGAGTAGTTTAATAAAATGATTTAGTCGATTAGATTCGTTTCATTGGATTTTTCTGGTCGAGTAGGCTTTCCCCACCACTAACTAGGCTTCCCAACAGACCTGTCCGGACACATTTCTTTGGTCAAGCGATATATCTTGTACTCTCGATTTCCAAAGCTCAACTGTACTAGTCCGGACACTTTTCTATGTGCTAAACGGTTTAGTAGTAAGTAGCTACTCCCCACTCGACTAAATTACTAGCCGTGTCTGAGCCAGCCTTTACGGACAAGCCAAACCGTCATAAATCTGATAAAAATATGTTTATAAAGAAATATGTTCCAATTCGTTTGCCAATTCATCATTTGGTGACATAAAGAGATAAAAGATAATGCTGATATTGATTGACATATGTAGATCAAATCAATAACGATAATGTATTTATCTATATTTGTATGAAATATGATAAGTTAATTCACTTAGAGTATGTGAGTGTTATGGATTACAAACTGTCTCGTTAAATAGTTATTAATTCTTATCTAGTCGAGACAAGTCCAATGAACCCATACACCTAATTTTCCAACAAAATATTTTTCATAATTCTTAAAAAATTCAACATTCTTCCCATCATTTGATTTTGGAAATAATATAACATAAATTATAAAACGTTAAAGACTTTTTGGAAGCAAAGAAAATTAGATAAGTAAAACAGTAAAAGTCTGAAAAAGAGAAAAAGCAATTAAGTATTAAATTTAAATTTGAGAAATTCACACCGTCATTATGTGTAGTTTTAATAGCATTGAATCAGGGAGTATAAACCCATAGTCCTTTCTGTAATTAATTTCATTAAACTGTACAATTTATTTCAAAAGTGATTTGAATTAGTCCACCAATTATGACGGTACTAACTGCACAGTTATTATGGATGTCACCTCTGACGGGTACATAGCGGGGCAAAATATAAAAAACTCTAAACAATATTCGTCTGTAAGAGTTATATTTTTTTTTTGCTCCAGAAAAATACTTACCAATTTATAAAATTGCTATTCTTCATCAAAATAGTACGAAACCGTTACACCTGGTATTCTTATGAATAGTGGTCGCAAGATTTCAAAGTTTACAGTATCGTGCAAAATAGGCTTCCCTAACAAAAATGACGTAACAGGGGAAGCAGGAATTCTTAAAATCTTCATTTTGAGGACATTAATGTTAAAAATGATATAGAGAAAAAATAATATAATTTTTTAATTAATAAATATTATAAAATTTAGTGTATAATTAAGAAATATGAGTAGTACAATAAATATTAATTAAAATTCTCCCGCGTAAATGTTTATACGCAAGTGGTGGGGTGCCACAGACTTATATGTACTGTCCACCGATCACAAGAAGTCCCATGAGAATAATGCAATCTAATTGGTCACCCCCCACCTCAGCTCACATGTAACGTCCACCGTGGCGTATGATTGGGCGAAGCGACCAGTTAAGCTCGTGTAAGTAGTACATGTACTGTTCGTTGCAGCTAAGTTGCCGTCCAATCAAATTCGTTGACCTGCCTCCAGTCACACGTATTATGTTTATTGGCCGAGGCTCTTACATCCACAAATCTATCGCGTGACGAACGTCGTTAAGGACAGACATTGAAACGGAATTCGGGGTTTACATTATTAAGAAAACAGGAGAGTTTTTACATTTTCCATAATGTAATTTCCATAAATTTTGCATAATAACAACTGTTGTCAAGAACGAGTATTATAAAAAATCCATTAATATCCCGAAAAAATTGCATGTTCATATAGTTAAATGTATCTTCCGCGAATATGGAAATTTTACGCCTATGCAATTTGACCGCTGACTTTTCAAGTTACGGATTCCTGGAGGGGATTAGGAGGAGCGAACGCACAGTCCCCTTGCCCCCCTGTCGGTTCAGTTTGTCGGTGCTCGGCAATTTAGCTGCAACGAACAGTACAGGGTGATTCTCTCGCCTAGTGTACTCAAAGGCAATGCCGCCACACCAGTATAAATGGGCCCAAGCTCTCTTCTGTCATCGATGCCTCGACAGGGGTGCACACAGTTGCAGTATGCACCCTCGTCGAGATACCGATGACACAAAGGGGCTTGGATCTATTCATACTGGTGTGGCGGCATTTCCTTTGAGTACACTAACGAGAGAATCGCCCTATACGTATATGGGATCTCCTCTACTACATCGTCATTTTCCTTGAGAACGCCTACGAAGACAGGTAGCAATCCGGGGAAAGAAAGGCCTATGGCGACGGTGAAAAACCCGGAAATCTAGGGAAGCTTATGTGGGCGTGGGAGTCCAGGCTATCGCTATTTTTGCTGGAGAAGCCTACCATGCTCGGTTCTGTACATTAGAGCATTTTTACGATATCTTATAGTTTAGTTATATTTAAAAATTTAATTAGGTTCCGAAAAATTCTAACTTCAATATTTCAAAACAATTTTCAGTACTTTCGAGTGTCGATTTTTTACATTTTATTAAAATATAACGTTCTGAAAATATCTCTTCAAATTTTCAAACTAAATTAGTGAAAATTAAGAATGATATTAGAAATTTATAATTTTTCACTATTTTTTTGTAACGTATCTGATTTGTCAGCTTTGAAATATAAAGCAGCATCTATAATGTTATGTTTCTTAAATAATTATACATATAGTATCTCAAAATAAGGCTAGTTAAATACAAAGCTAAACTAAATTTTTTTGCTGATCTATGTTTTTTTCCAGTGATAACACAAGGATTAATGAAAAAAACCACATTTAATATTTCTTTGTATTAAGTATTTGGCATTTCGCTCACGATATTGTGTGAGCAGCAAAGAACGTGTTAAATATTACACTTCTCGAATTTAGTAACAATAGTTAAGAAATTTATAGAATAGAAAATATTACAATTTAATTAATTTATTTTTAAAAGCAAATATTTTTTATGAACTTTAATTTCTAATTCAATTAACTTTTTATATTACTAAATGTAAATTCCATTTATTATTCAGTAATTCTTAATAGAGTAATTCAGTTATGAAAATTTTAAACCACATTCGTAAAAATAAATTCATTAAATGTAATGAATTTAATTATTTAGTTTAAGAATCTACTTTTAGTTTTGTTATAAAGATTTTTTATGATTTATGTTATTTGAAAACAATTTCGTATTGGTATGGAAAAAAATAATTAATGTAACTACTAATTGTAAGTAGCAAGCATACAGAATTAATTTTTTTTTTCTTTCGCTCTTATATTCGAACTATGGTTCGAAGCGCTAAATTATAATTTCCGTTTCTAGTGCATTATCACCCTGGCACTTCTGATCATAGAGGATGTCTACGAGCTAATCAATTATGTCAGCTTCGTTGAAGCTTTATTCACTACACTCTCCGTATCTGGTCTCCTCTGGCTTCGTTATAAAAGCCCGGATCGTGAACGACCGATAAGGGTATGTTTCGGAGAATTTTCTTTTCTTAAACCTCGCATACTAAAATATGTTATTTACTATAATCAGCTTGCTTAGTACGCTATTTTCAAATTAACAAACTAACATTTGATGTTAATGCAGTGATGTTAGACGGGATATTTTTCCGCGCATGCGCATTGAATGTAGTATCAATGAAGTAGTCACTTGCATAAAATGAAGGTCTTATAGTGCCCCCGCATTTAATCTTTTTTAAATTATTTAAAAATGTTGAATTAATCAATTAAAATTGAAAAAATTGATTGGAAACATATAATATAGATATATATATATATATATTATGCAACTTATGAGTTTAATTTAATTTATATAATTTACAATTTTATAATAATAAATATTATAATAAATATAGGGGGAAATTGCCGATATCGTACTAGTGTCCTAAATCGTACCACATTCAAATTTTGCTTAATGTTGAATGGCGGTACCAGCTAGCAACATCTTTTATAAGCTAAGACATATATATTCCTATAAAACCTTAAATAGTGTATCAAAATCAATTACAGTAGCTGTTCTAACAAATTTGAAAAAGCAGATCAGCCTAATGTAAAATTTTAATCATGTTGCGCTTGCGCTGTCTCTTTTAAAAATAATTTAATGATATTTATTTTTACACAAATATAAGCCTACGTTTTTATGTGCATGCGCCAATTTTCAAATTATGTTAAAACTTACTTATAAATTAAATAAAATAAAATTATAAAAGAGCCGGCGAGTAGCCTAAATCGTACTGCGGCGTAGTTTCCCAAATCGTACCAGTACGAGTTAAACAATTGATCAATATTTTAGATATTTTTTTAGGTTATAGTTATGTCAAAAAGAAAGTACGGACAGTGAAGTGCAAATAACATGAATAAGGCTATAATAAAACACACGTCTTCAACTAGTGCATCTGCAAATATTTCTGTATCGCTTAATGAAGAGGAGTGGTTCTGCAGTTTGTATGAATAAGTTCAACTTGAAAATATGTATAATACAATGTTTAAGGGTACATGAGGCCTGTGCAGGCGTGTCAAAAGCACAAAATGTTATTATTGTCCTCAATGTTAAATAAACTCAATTTATTATTTATAACTCAGGGATAGGATGTTGGAAACCAACCAGTACAATTTAGGATACCGGTTGCCAAAATCGTACCTTTGTATCATTTTTTTACTAATGCATGTAAGACATAACAACTGCTTTCAAAATGCAGTTAACGTTGTCCACAGGTTATTTAAATGATATTTTATAAAATTGTTCAGCTAAATTCTCAAACAGACATACCAGAGCTTCATATTATGCATAATATCTTAAGTACAGTAAAAGCTGGATATATGCAACAAACATTAGGACCCAGACGTTGCATATATCCAGTCGAGGTGTCGATTCTGGGCATTTAAACGTTGCATATATCCAGCCGAGGTGTCGATTCTGTGCATTTAAACGTTGCATATATCTAGCCTTGGTGTCGATTCTGTGTCCGTACAAATCGTTTGTACCGTGCCGCGATACCTATTCTACGTTCGTACACAACATGCGACGTGTTGCGTATTGCATGTTGCATGTTTGATGTATCTTTGGTCTGCCTTATACATATGTAGCCGAGGTGTCAACTCTATATTGTTTATAAATATAATTCAAACTATATCGTGTTTGGTGTCATTGTAATCAGAAAAATCTCACAAATGCGTTAGTAAAAGTATCATTAAGAAAAAGTTAAAAATAAAAAAGTTTTATCGTTCAATTAATATTAGTCACACCGATATTACGGTCGGATCATATTACACGGTTTCCTCGTCGAGCGGCTCGGTTTAGCTTAGGGGGATCCCCCCAAGTGGAGAGGATAGCGATGTTGCATATATCTAGCCAAACTTTTGTTGCATATATCCAGCTTTTACTGTAGTACGATTTCGGCAACTTCCCCCTATGCATATATGGTGTTATAAGATAAAAAGGTGATGATAAGGTAAAGATCCTGTTACTGCCCAGTGCACTCCCTCTGCAATTCTCGGGTCTGTATCACCATTACGTGTACACCTACGTGTACTTACATTGTACGTCATTGTAACCATCATTGTTACGTCACAAAAAGTCGCGCATGTATGAAGAACCTATCATATCTATCACTGTATTATTGTTATCTACTAATTTAAGTACATTGATACTTGTTTCCAATTTCACATTTAATTTGAAGAGCCCTATTAATACCTCAAACTAATAGTAGTACTGAGGAATTATCAATTTTATGTTCTATTAAAAAAAACAATGTTAAAGTTACTACTAGAATAGAAAAACTCTTATATAATTATTTTTATTTTTATTATTGATATCGAGTGAAACTAAAACATAAGATACTAATACAGAACTGCCTCGAAATAAGCAAGTGGCTCGGGACCGAACAGTTGCTTATTTCGAAGCAGGTTGCTATTCGGCTTGACTTTGTTCAAAGAAAGAGACTTCAAACAAAGAAGAGGGGATAGCGAGTTGCTTATTTCGAGGCAATGCTGTATTAGGTATACAAATTAATTTGATGCCTTTAACATTACGCCTTTTTAATTAACATTTCGAATTTAAATATTTCCCCGCGCTTCTATGGATCTGAAAAGTGGCATCAGAATATGATTTTAATAATCATAGTTACTATGACTTCTAAATAATAATTCTTCAATTAAGAAAGAAAATGCGCCGAATTAATTTATATGCCTAATACTGATAATTTGTATAGTTCGTTTTAAGATAATGTGAAATTAAATTAATTAAAAATAAGTCTTCCATACATGTAAGAAAAAAGATGATTCATAACATTGAATTATTAAAAAGCTATCGTTTTCAATTACAGGTCTCAATTGTGTTACCAATTATATTTTTCGTAATCTGTGCTTTCCTGGTTACATTTCCTTGCTATGTGTCACCGTGGGCAGTTGGAGTAGGAGTGATAATCATTTTATCTGGCATTCCCGTGTACTGGATCTTTATTTATTGGAGAAAGAAGCCCAAATGGCTTATAATGTCGTCTCGTAAGTAACATTTGTAATTTGTTATTCAATTATAATTTTAATTTTGCATGTACACATGCTGAAGAAGCTTCTTTTTAATATTATTACTAATATACTGACAAAGAAGAAATTAATCCCAGGGCGACGGGCCACAGAGAGAGTACCGATTTTAATTTAATATTTTATGTCATATTATTTTCATTTTCTAAATTTGACACTGTTCAACAATAAACACTAATTGCTATAACAAAAAAATTAAAATTCAATCAATAATGCCAATTAAATTAGGAATTAAGTTTAGTACTAAAAACTAATAAAATTATTATTGTTTTTGTTGTAGATAATCTCAACATGGCATGTGCGAAATTGTTTATGTGTGTTCAAGAGGTGAAAAGCGATTGATCGTTAAATGCCTTTTTAATGTTATATATATTTAATATTAGTAGTGCCTTGTAAGTTGACTGAAATTTCGCCTTACAAGTTCACACACACATACACGCACAGATAATTGGAGACTTGCAATTTGGTACTGACTGCATGGAATGACGTATTTAAAATAAACAAACGTATGATATTGCAATAGCCAGGTGCCGCCATTACTCGGTGTTGGTTTTTAAGCGTTATTTCCGTAAAGATATAAGAATAAAATGTGTGAAAGAGCTAAAAGAGCAATATCGCAATAAAAAGAAAACACTGCCATACGGGCCCCTTATCTGATCGCGCATGCGCATTAACGCAATAAGTGTAGCGTATGTTATGATACGCATTGTGTAGGTCACACTAATGTATTGTCATATTTAGTATATATTTGCATACAATTCAGTTTTAAATTTTGTAATTTATCGTATATTAAGAAAACGCAACTCCCGGGAATTGTGAAGCTTTTATATTTCCCACAGTAAAAATTTTCGAAAGATCGCGCGCAATACTACCAACGAACGAATGCGCATATGCGATTAGACAAGGATACGAAATACAAGGAACCTTTATGTAATATTTTCTTTCTATTCCATTTTACACACTACATATTATATACTTGTCTTTATGGAAGAAGCATACTATATGGCATGCTCACAAATATGGTCTCGATCAATTATCGAAACAATGGTGTAATTTCAAATGAAGTAGGCACAACATTCCAAGTAAACATATGTGCTGTTTTATATTGAATGCATATACATACACAGTCGCTACCACGATACAGTGAGGTTATAAAATCCTTCAAAAACACTTTAAGAGAGCTGCAAAAGTCTTACAACACTTTAGAAGAACTAATGACATAAAATTTTATTTAGAACTGCATGAAGAAATGCATTGACTGCTGGTTCTTAAGGGTTTAAATTATAACCCTGCCATGCCCTGATGACGATTATTCATAACGAATGAATCATGCGTGATATTCATTGAATAGGTCAATTAACGGATTCACCAGTTACATACAATAACGAATTATACATATATATTATAATAAATGTGTTAATTTGGTAAATGTATTCACACGCAATGAAAAAGATTTTATTAAAACATATGTCGCAGCGAATATATGCAGTCTTAAAACGAATACATTTACTAATTATAAAAATCATAGGCAGTTTATAATTTTTGCTAAAATCTTACATAAATATTAGCTGTAGGATATAATTCAGGAAATAGAATAGGAAATAATCATTATCACTATCAGATTATGGCGCTATTTTTTGTATCCACTGAAGCGCGGGAAAATATTTAAATTTACAATACATACACGTATTGACTTTGAAGTGCATGTATTTACTAAATCTTACGCTTTTACAGTGACATATACATCGATTTACAAGATATAATATGCATCTATTTTAAGTGATTTATATCATGTTCAGTTTTATTTTAAAAAATCTTAATGAGCATCCGTTGTAGTATAGGAAAAGCAATTGTGTAATCAATATTATTTAATTTTTTTAAATTTATAGTTACAGTCCAGTGGATAGTTAAATGAGATTGATGTGTATTGAATACTTTTGTATATATTCATAATTTAATATTAAAAAAGAAAACTAGTTCAAGCCATTACTTAAGAGTTTGCTTCAACTTATGTTTTAGTTCATTTTATTAATATTTATGTTATTTAGTTATACCAATTTAACACCGAAGAATACTTTGCACTCTTAATCGGAATTGTTTATCGTATTTTATAGATAAATTGTAACTGTTGGACCATAAAACTGCGAGAAGTATTCATCTTGCAAAATAAAAAAGTAAAATTGATTGACAATATATCAGACCAATACCAACGCACAACTTGTTTAAATCATGATCATGTTTTATTTCAGAAATTTTGTATACACAATTCTTCAAGTAACTTTTGTTGTTTTATAAGTACTTGTAAGTATTACATTCAATACATGCGCATAATATTGTAATATACATACTATAACCATATGTATTTAAACTGTTTTTAATTGTATATACAATACAAGAACTTATAAATTATTTATCATGATTCATATTAATAGGTAAACGCATTAGCATTGTTGATAAATCAATAATAGTAATGTTTCTGTCATATTGTTTTTTATTAATTATATGTATAAGAAAAAAAATGGTCTAATGATATATTATAAGTGTATTCATATTAATACAAAATCTTTTTTGATACTGTGCAATAGCGTACAATTTATCTGATCAAATTATGCATTTAAAAGTAAAAATATCTTAAGAAATACTGGGTATCTTATAGATAACAAGAATGTTATCAAATATTTATAGTTTTATAGTTACCTGTACATCGTTATAATTTTCTAGCCTTTTTTAAATAAATTTTTCAAATAAGTACTTTCCAAAAAATTACAATTGAAAATGTGTTCAAGAAAATAACGACTGATAACGTGCCTTATATCTATGTTGTGCGAATAAAAAGAATTTTCTAAGAAAATTTTTCATGAGAACTCACATTCTGAGATTATTAAACAAATAAGTATTTTTTATCAAATTTGGTACTGTTAGACAGCTCGTTATTAATAGTGTCATATTCTGGGTATGAATATGTTTGTTCGTTTTGAACAAAAAAATCCATATTTTTAATATTATGTTTTAATGGTTTTTTCTTCAATAGTCAGGGAAAATTCAATGATTTTATATTAATATAGAAACAGTTTGATATGTTCGTGGTGTAATTATGATTACGTATTATTGTCACTACATTGTCAGTACGAACTATTAGATTATACTAATACTTTTTTTATATCGTAAGTAATGTTTAGAATTTGTAAGATACTGATTTGCAAAGTTATAACTTGGTGCATAACTTATTTCATTTATGAAACTAAAGTTATAAAATAAATACGGAGGACATAGTATATTATTGAGAAAAACATAAACAATGAATATTACAATTATAGGTATAATAAACAATATATTAATGCAACAAATCCTTTTATTTAATTGCTAAAATTTTGTTCTAAATGAAACAAATTACAAATGAGATTCTTACTGGGTATATCTTAATGCTTCGATACATTTACTTTCAATAAATATGTATAAAATATTGAATAAATATTGCAATATACATGTAAGTATTTTGAATAATTTACAATAAGTACAGAATGTAATACATGTTGGTATCAGTATACTAAGATTATTGTAATTTTCAGAACATTAGAAATTACACTACGTTGTACTATGCAAAAAGTTGAAAATAAAACTAATAATTAATCTTACTTTCCTTATTAATTGGATCATTGCAATATAAAAATTGTGCATGTTTCTATCGTATCGTATCTCCGAAAAAATAAAGTTCCGATGAAAAAATATTGAAGGCTACATCCTTTTATTTTTTAATGTATAATTATATGTACATCAATGCTGTGTCGCTTTAAAAAATAACAAATTTAATTAAAGATTATCTCATGATATTATAAAATATAAAAGAATGAGTATTATTCTCCATACTTCAGTAATAACCAAACTTGAATATATTTTGTAATAATAATTATTTATTCTTCAAAGAATGAAAGATGTAGCCTTATAATACAGTAACAAAACATTTACAAATATTTTTAAGTAACTATTCAAAGATTTCAAGACATTTGATTGACGGTGTGTTTATTATTCATAACAATGTCATGGCAACTTTACAATAATCCATTTGTTACAAAACTGACAAATAAATTACTAACGTCATAGTAATGAAACAACTATAATCTTTACCGTAAATGTTTCAAACAAATCAACAGATTTTCAAAATTTCGCTACCGCCTCTTATTCCTTTCTTGAATATTGCACAATCAGTTGCTTACACAGTAAATAACAACTGTGATACAATGGCATGATTCTTCAGAAAGGAAGAACAATGTTACTTGTCAAATTTATTCTTGAAATCAGCACGCAGCGATATTTTAAATAACAATCAAGTCTTTCGTTCATTAGAGTGATTTGCAGGATTAACCCTCTGCTAGTGGCGGCGTAACCCAACCGTACTTTTCATGAGTTTTTACAAGACTCCTGAAGGATTCTTCAGCAGAACGTCTATTAAATTCTTTGTTCGTCTTCGATTTCCTTGCCACACGCCCCTAAAAAATTGAATAACGTTATAAATACTTACTTTCATTCTTAAATGAATTGGAACGTGTAATTAAAATTAACTGATTAGTGGACAATATAAAAAACCGATTTAACAAGTGTATAAAATTCAACGATAAAACGTTCTAACATTTATTATATTAATTTCTCAATACAATACTTAAAATATCTGTGCGTGTAAACTTAAATTATATATCTTAATTTAATTTAAAATTAATGCAATCACTTTTGATAAATAATACTGGAATACAGATGATTTCATGCTAAGATGATTTCACCTGGCCCTTAACGATACTAGCTGCAAACTGTGTGATGACAGCTTCAATGGTATATGCACTAGCCCATCCCCTCGGTGTAAGAAGTTCCATACAAATAGCGCCACCCTCCATTACAAAACCTTTCTCGATTCGCGGAGAAATAACACGCATAAAAGGTGGTGCGAATGGAAAGTTCTCTGGAAACACCACATGGAGAAGTATATAAGGTATGTTGAGTTCTCTCATGTCAGCTGCTAGTTCACTTTCTGGATCAATTTTATGCAGTCTCACGTGCCATTCAAATAAATTGTCATTGACTAGTTCTGCAGTGAAGGTTGACTCCAATCGATGCTGTGTTCTCTGGATTTCGCTGAGCTCCTTCATCAATCTACGCAAACGAACCCTTTTATCTGGAACTGCAATAATTCCCTAAAACATGGAAAAATATTAACTACTATCTCAATGATACATATATACATTATTTGTATAATCAAATAATTAGTAAAAGAAAAAAGAAAACAAACTTTGAATAGCATTAATATTAAACTAATATTTACATTTGAAAATTAATCAATCGTATCCTTAATAATTACAGTTTTAGTATATCTGAGTGCACATGGCTTTTGCTACTATGACAGTCAACGTAATAAATTGAAAATTAATTTTGAAGTACCTGAGCGGAGCTGCCGGAAGATTTCTTTGATTTGAAAAAACAACTCCCATGACTGGAATTACTGGCACCCGGGTTATCCGACAGTGCACCATCAGCTGGTGTAACTGCGTCAGGACGATGGTGTCGACTTAAAAGCTTCCTCGATGGTGAACTCGTCGAGCTACTCGCTCCGTCTTGTTCCGAGATTTTCTCGGAGGATCGGAAAAACTTCCGAAATGCTGCGACTACCTTTTCCTTTGATCTCGTAGACATGATTCTTCCAGTATCTTTGACGCGATGTGTATCAGCGTAATATTTATAACATTTATTTAAACTACCCAATGATGATTAAGAGAGATGATTAAGAGTGATGATAATATACAATTAAATAAAAGAAATTTGAAGAATTCTAATACTACTGTATTCGAATGACAAAAGTTCAAGCATGCTTTTTTCTTTTGTTCCAATATTATTTTCAATATTAATAACATCTCTTACGAGATGATACCAATTTGATATATTAAGGCATTCAATACATATACTCAATTTATCTTTTATGAAAATAAACACGAGCAGCAACTTAATCAAATCTGACACTTGTAGTATTAAAAAAAAACATCGCGCTGATTACATTTTTCAACAGTAAACAAAAGAAAACTGCGCTATTTACTACTCAAATTGTATTATTTACAATTTTTCACAGGAAGCATAATATTTAAATATCCCCTGCTATAGCAAAGTATATAGATATTAATTTTCACTCTTCACTCATAAAAGAATGTTCTTAAGTGCTAAAATAAGTTATAAAATATATAAACGTCAACAATATGAAAGAAACATGTTAAAAGTGTCAGCGAAAAATTCAGTACAACAGCAGCATCCGTTGCAGCCTCAGTACCATTATCTCTTTAAATCGCATTACTTACCTTCTTTTTTTCACTCGACTGAGTTATTCCGGGGGAACACGTTGAATCGTTTCGCAGTTCATTTTAAACACTATTAATACGCGATGCTTTGTAACTATCTTTAAGAATAAATGCAATTCATAACAGAATCGTGTATCAATAGCGAGAATAGAAAAAACGAAACCTAAAAACAACGTAGAACACAGCGCAATCTCCAACCTCATTGAACTGGTCAAGCGCGTAGTTTGGAAGAGTTGCTGCTTCCAGGGCCGTCTTACCAAACGACTTTCCTTTACCATTTTTGCGTTCGACGGAAAAAATCAATCGATTTTCATTTTTTTCTTCTTTTTAATGATCTTTCCTCTTTGTTATATAAATATACTTTTCTTCCTTTTCGTTTTTGAATACAACTAGTCATGGAAACTTGTTTGAAGAAATCATTCTCTTTATAGATAATAAATTAAAGGAACGCCATTTAGTAACTTAATCGATTTAAATGAAGTCTTATTAAACGTAATTCGCACTTATCTATATATTTTCAATAAATGAAATGTATGCATATACAGAAGATGACAGTATTCTATATATGCCAGAAGATACTAATTAAATTGAAAATTATAGAAAAAATTTTACATGAACCCCTGTTAAATATAAACAGATTTAACAATTTAATATCGACCCGATTTACGTATTTGATATCTAGTGATATTGAATTGTGTGAAAATAGATTGTAACTAAGTGAGTACTTTAGCATATCTACATACTTTAACATCCATCAATGTGTAAAATTTTTCTACAACATTTTACAAGAGTTTTGTTACTTTGAGAATTGAATGAAATAAGTCTTATTTTAAGTGTATAAAAATTTTTATTATTTTTCTCTCCATGGTATTACAACGTAACTGTTCAAATATCGTTTTGAAAATAAGAAAACCATCGTATGCTTCACTATGTAAGCTAAAACAAGAAGGCAGGATAAATACTGAACCCATGCCCATTTCAATTCCTCCCAAAAACTGGGTTGATAATGAATTAAACTGTCTCTATAGATTATTTCTGCGCAAACAACTACTGTGTTTTCACTGGAACGACCTACTTGCTTTGTTACATATTCGTTGTTTATTTTAGCTGCAACTAAAATAAATGTTTATATTTCAACTAAATTTGAATAAATGACAATATTAAACTTTTTTAAGAGCAGTAGTTTAAAATTTAAACCATTAAATGGCGCACAATATTGGGACAGTGGTCCAAATTTTAAACCACTTCCATTAAATTTTATAGCTGCAAACATATTATTCACAATTCAAAACCACCTTTTAATTAGTTATAATTATGTGAACAACGTTTAAATCAACTTTTTTCTCAGCAAACATTATGTTTAAGTAATAAAAGTATTGGAAAATTCACTTTTTCTTAAAATAAATTTCAACTAAAATTGTTCTTCCCCCTGGGGGTATCTTTTTATCAGTTTTCTTGCCCCTAAAAGATTAAAATTACTACTAACATTTTCTATTAGCACTTTGCAAAAGTAACTCTGCTAATGAATAATGAGCCATTTCTATGCTCTGATTGTAAGTTTCATATAAACCTTCATTGGTAAGAAGGCCCTTTTGCTGTAGCATTAAGTCTCCATAGAACTGTACTTTCTGTACTTCTTCATCCAACACATGAGCAAAAAGTGTAATAGACTCAATCGTTACTTCAAACAATTGCTGAAATAAATCAATAAAATTAACACTTTGAAATAATACTCGAAAATAAAAACGTAATAACATATTTTACCTTTAATCGAAAATTAAAAAAGAGTAAAAGCTTACAAGATCTAACAGGTACGTTTGTATAAAAATGAGCCTCTAATTTTAAAATATCCTTTTTACCATCAGTATTTGTATCTATTTCTTGAACCTAATTTATAATAATTATACAATAATTAATACACATGTTATGTATACAATAATTAATATACATGTTATGTATACATGTATTATGTACACATATAATATAAAATCATATATATAAAATCATTTATATATAATGCGATAATAGAACCTTCACTAGTATGCAGTCATCTGTAATTTTATTATCTTTGTATGTTGTAAAAGTCGAACAAACTATGGGACTAACATTGTAGCCTCTGTCTACTAATAATAAATATTTATAATTAAATAATACATCCGGTCTTTCTATGTATACGCGATTTTTTAATGAGAAGCCTGGAAATTATTAATAATTTTCAAAAACAACGTAAAATTATTATTATTAAACAAATTAACACCTACCTCCTGCATTGTAGATGATAAAAAATGGTGTAAGCAACGATAAAATTGTGATAAACAGTACAATTAAGAAACTAAGAGAACATAGTTTACTTTTGTATTTATAATGAACAGAAGTTGAAAAAATTTCAATAACTGCCATGATGACGCGTTACCTAGGCAATGCTCAAAAACATACATTTATAAATATGTACAGCATGTATGTACAGTGGCGGCTCGTAGCTAAAATTAGTGGGGGTACTGTTCCAGAAAATTTTTAGCCTTTGTTTTAAAAAATAATTTTTAACAAAAAATACAACCGACTTCGAAATGCACTAAAAAGTATGAAATAATTTATATTTCATTTATACAAATACCCAACCGCTATTAATAAAACCTATTTATTCGTTAAATAGTATATTAAATACATTTCAACCTTTTCGGAGTCGGCGCAAAATTAAAAATTTTTCTTCTACTATAGGAAGATCCTAGTTCAGGCGTCGATAACCTATCAAATCGTTATTGGCAGCATCGTATACATATTCGGGTATTTTTAATTTTTTCTAATATTTATCTTGTGTTATTTTTGTTATTACATATGTTGCGAGTCCGTTTAGCGGAAATAGGTGAGCTCCTGATCACCAAATAAATTATCGTTAGCAACGCTCATTAATTTAGTCCTTGATTAACATTTTGATAACGAAAAACCGATTCTCTTCTACTGATCGAGCTATATGATAAGGAATCCTTGATAACAATTTGATAACGAAAAACTGATTCTCTTTTTACAATTTAATTGTGACATACTTCAGCCACTACATTCAATTTTCTATACAACCCAATTCACAATTGATTCTGCTTCGTACAGCCTAGATCACACTTTATTCTGTAGCTATGTTTGCTTACACTGGCGAGGATCGCAACAGTACGCTTTTTGGCAGAGTGATCCTACTGTTCTTTCCTATACTGACTTTGTCACAGACGCAGTTAGAAAGGAGACGCTGAGACAGCATAGGGTATAGACGCACGGGAGAATAAAAGTTAATTATGTATATCATTATTAACCAAGTAGCGTAAGCACACATTGAAGTGTAGGGAATGCCTAACAGGCAACCTCGCGAATCAGCCAAAACCCTACATAACAATAGTTTATTACAGTGATCACGAAATCACACGATCGTGATTTTTTTTTATTTTGAGCATGCGCGAAAAACCTACTCCATGTAACATTACTGGATCGAATTGGAGCGAATCACAAGTGATTTATGACAATTTATAAGTAGCAGTTTACGCGATCTCTTGATACCACTGATATGATAGATGTGTGTCATAATCCTTAATTATAGTAACAAGAAAAAGGATATTTGATAATCAAAAAGATTCTATTGTTCTGTAATTTCATTTCTATTATTCAACTTGAAAGTATTTTGAGTAACCTCTTCAAATGAAGAGTACTTTGGGAAATGTAAGTTTATATTGTTAAAAATAGTTAATATTTCTTGAATACATATGTTATACGCGTCTTTTGTTACTTCGCAATCATTTCTTTACGTTTCACGATACAACGAGCCGCATTTGGATTGTCCAACATTTCGTAAGAGTATTTAAAAATAAATATACGCGTCTAACGATACCACTTCTTTTCCAAGTTCTGTAAGTTTAGTATCTATACATGATGCGAAGTACGTGGAGAGATAGAGATCGGGTAATATTTAATTAATATTAAAAATTACAGTTGTAAAACAATACAACATTATTGCAAATCAGAAAAATTAAAATTTATGAAGGACTCAGTTTCTGAATTTGTTATAAATTATCTTTAAAGCACTGTAATAAATTAGTTCTTATTTGTAATTAACATTTTTGTATACCTAGGACTTCAAAAAACATCTTCCTGATGGAGAAACTACACAACAGCACTTAGCAGACTCTTTACATTCAACACAAACTGTTACTCAACCAATAACAGAGTTTGATCCATATGCAGAAGATGATATTGATTGTGATGAAGTATATCCAGCAATCTATATTGGTGATGCGTAAGTATTTAGAAATTTCTCTATAAAACAATACCTCATAATTCATCAGTTTAATAATATATTAATTTGCATTTGATATCTTAAAGTGCTACAGCTAAAAATATAGTATATCTTAAAAGGTTGGGTATAACACATTTACTAAATGCTGCACAAGGAAAAAAGTTTGGGTTTGTAAATACTGATGAGAGGTACTATAGTAATACAGCAATAAAGTACCTTGGATTACCTCTTGCTGATTTATGTACTACAGATATTAGCAAATACTTTTATACTGCTGCAACTTTTATTGATGAAGCTGTTTCCACAGGAGGTAATTGTTTTATAATACAGTTAAAAATTGTAAATATATAAAAATATCGAACACATGAAAAATAATGTTTTTTTTTTTATTATTAGGAAAAGTATTCGTTCATTGTATGTTAGGCATTTCTCGTAGTGCAACATGTGTGTTAGCATACTTAATGATAAAAAAAGAAATGCTAGCTGTCGATGCGATCCGAGCAGTTCGTAAAAATCGTTTTATTGAACCAAATAGAGGCTTTCTTCACCAATTAGCGCAACTAGATAATCACTTACGAAGACAACGTTTGTAATCAAATAATACTGATAAAACATTGTATGAGTGTATAATTTTATAGATCTGTATTGTACATACATAAATATTTGCATAAAAAAAAAAAAAAAAAAAAACATACATACACATCGAATTGAGTATCCTCCTCCTTTTCGAAGTCGGATAAAAAATAGAATTGCATTACATTGATGAGTACATTTAATTATATATTTTAACATTACTTGCTAATTATTTAAAAACATAACTGTTTTTACACATAATGGTTTGCTAGAACAATAAGTATTTACAAATTTATAAGAGGACTTCTATGGTCATATTTTAAAAAGTATATTGTTACATCCCGACAAAAGAAAAATTATATTGTCTTCAATTTTAAAGTTACGAGCGGATTAACAACGGCGAGATCAGTTCATTGACTGACCTCCTTAGAGTCACCAGCGTCAATAAATTCTTTCTTCTCGAAACGCTGCGCCGAAAATATGTGCCAACACACCGACATTCCAATAGGTCAATATGCCAGTGAACTCTTTCTCAACCCATGCAAAATCAGTATTTTCAGCCATAATAAAAAACCGATTACGTGCAATAGCGAACACAGTCGGCCATACAGTCGCGAGGTGCGCGGTCTCTCTGTCATGTTAAATAAAAAAGAACAATTGAGAAACACCGACCTTCTTTTTTCAATTTATTGTGTGCTTACTTAAATACTTATAAACAATTGTTTTTGTTGTTGTTTTTTTTAATAAACATCAATAAATAATTACATCAAAATAACGGAGCATTATGCCACGTTGCTGTGGCTCTCCGGTCATTGTGTATGTTTTACCACTTCCAATTACTCCATAAGTAAACAGAAGACTGTTTTTATCACGAATAACATTTTCAACCGATGGAAGAGTAACCACATTAAACACTTCCTTCTATGGTACATCATATGTAAATACCGGACTAAATGTTGTTTAAATTTCTTTATTTCAGGTGGGGTAATAACGAAAGTTGCCAGATGTAACTTTTATACATCTGTGAGATGTTGCATTGATCTTAAATGACAATAAACTTGAACTGGGTCTTTAGTTGGCTTACCAGCTGAGCATGATGGCTTTGCACGTCTGAAATATTTACAATTGTTATACACATTATAATAAATAACAAGTACAATTCTCTAAATTCTTCAGTGAAGTATAATAATAATAATTAAAAACTAATAATTTACTGAGCTAGTAAACAATATCTATACTTCTATACTAATGTATAAAGCTGTAAGCATTTTCTTTGTGCAGGGTAATCTCCAAATCTACTGCTTCGATTTTGATCCGATTTTTTTAGACGTGTTCCTTATAACCTTGCGAAGGACATAAGCTCAGTTATATTACGCTGTTGCGTCGGAAAATGTATAAAATATTGTTTATTTCGTTTGTGTAAATCGTAGCGCAGAACAGTTCAGCAGAACTGCTAATACCCACCGCTGCAGTGTTGACATAGTAGTGGGAATACCTTCATACCTCAGCGGTGGGGATGAATGGCGACGCTGTCGGTGCTGCTTCCCGCATTCAGCATCTTTTTTTCTCATACACTCAGACAAAATACCACCTGGACAGCGCCGGGTAACACAGCTAGTATACAGGGTGTCACGTAACGCATTTTCACCCTCTCAGGTGGTGGTAGGTGGGGTGATTCTGAACAACTTTTTCCTTTGCGAAAAAGTGGTTTGAAGCTTCCTTTTTGAATTATTAAACAAAAACACTGACCAATCCGAGCGCGTATAGCGCGCGGGCTCAGGGACGGCAGCGTCGGCTACGACAGCGGGGCTTGACGCAGGTCGCGAACAAACGGCTCGGCGCCTCGTTAGCATAGCACAATAAAAAAATTGAAGTAGTTAAACATTTTTTTTTGTTGTTGAAAAGGAATACGGAATCTAATCTCTTGTCGCCTGTTATTATGTAAACAAGGAAATTTTAAACATTCTAAATAAAAAATAAAAATGTTTGACCCCGAAAAGGGCTACGTAAGTGCAATACCTAAGTGCAATAAACGAGGCGAGTTCACTAGCCCGACCATCAAATCAGCTGTTCCGCACACGTGTTTCTTCGTCGAGTGATGAAGACCGACATAATAACCCAGGATAGACCCAGGTAGGAATTATCTGCTTTCAGCATAGCAGGTAAATTTACGAACGAATGAGTAAGTTTCATTGAAATTGTTTTAAAATTTGTATTCATTATTTCATTTCAAACATTTTTATTTTTTATTTAGAATGTTTAAAATTTCCTTGTTTACATAATAACAGGCGACATGAGATTAGATTTCGTATTCCTTTTCAACAACAACAAAAAATGTTTAACTACTTCAATTTTTTTATTGTGCTATGCTAACGAGGCGCCGAGCCGTTTGTTCGCGACCTACGTCAAGCCCCGCTGTCGTAGCCGACGCTGCCGTCCATGAGCCCGCGCGCTATACGCGCTCGGATTGGTCAGTGTTTTTGCTTAATAATTCAAAAAGGAAGCTTCAAACCACTTTTTCGCAAAGGAAAAAGTTGTTCAGAATCACCCCACCTACTACCACTTGAGAGGGTGAAAATGCGTTACGGGACACCCTGTAGAATATAAAGACTTACGCAGATTTCTTTTTTATGCTGTTATATTTGTTTCTACATTTGCTACTGCAAATAATACACTTTTACCCTTTTATTTTCTGATAAATTTCACAAGCTGTAAACCGTCATTCCTATTCACTCTAAATACGCGGACTACTAACAAGGAACCCGGAAATTCAACAAATTATGAAACTTTGTGAATACGTAGAGGGTGCCCCCTGATTAAAACGCATTTTTTTTTACTGCCCGTTTTCGGTTTAAGGGGGTGAAAATCGCCTTCAAAATTTCGGCCGTTTTTCGCTTTTTTCCTTTTTCTCCGAAACTGTTAAAGATATCCAAAAACTTTATAAACAAAAGTTGTTCGTCTTAATGTACCTATAGTGTTTGTTTATGTTGGAACAAAAAATTGTTTAAATAATTACAAAAAGTTATAAACAAAAAAACTTAAAAACTATTGAAAAGTTCTAAAAGTCGTCATGAAAATAGGAAATGGTCTGTTGTTTAAAGTAACGTAACGTTTAAGGGAGCAAAAAATATTACTGAATATTTTTATATTTTACGTTTAAAAACTTGTTTGGTTTAAGGGGGCACGTTATGTGGTGCAAATGATGTTTCGATAGGTGAAGTGGTGGGGGAGATTTTGAAACCAAACCAATTTTTTTAAATGTCACCCTATATTTTTCTATTTATAATATTGTGTTGAGACGAATTCAACGATCTGCTACATCGCATCATTCCATTAGTCAGAACCTTAAATTTTTGCGATTGAAGTTGCATTAGTGTGCACGGGGAACGTTGGCTGAAGCGCGCCGCCTCAAAGCGGGGTTGCTTCACATCATACGACTGAATTTTATTTGAGAAGGCAAATGCCAAAAAATTTTTTAAACAGTTGAAGCTCTTGCTAAAATGCAGTTTTTTCCAGGATGATATTTTGCAACGTCCTCGAAGGCAGTACATACGAATTACTTTCAAGAATTGCGATTGCGACAGAAAAAATATCAGAAACAACATTAAAAACAATAGAAAAGGAGTTTGTAAGAAGATTGCAAAAGTCTATTTTTAACGACGGCAGACACGTCGAAAGATAAGGTAAATAAAAAACCATTTAATAAATAATTATTACTACAAGTCCATCAATAAAAAGAGAAAATTAATGTCCATTAATAATTGTGTCAATTAATTTTTAATTTTTTTTTCTGCAGCATCAATATCCTCCCACAATATTTGGGTAAAATCTGATTCCGCCTAATACAAGAAAATAACACTCAAGCGATATGAAGCAACCACCCTTTGAGGCGGCGTGTTGCACACTGACGTAACTTCAATCGCAAAAATTTATGGTTTTATCTAATGGAATGATACGATGTAGCAGGTCATTGAATTCGTCTCAACACCCACTACAATATTATAAATAGAAAAATATAGGATGCCATTTAAAAAAATTGTTTTGGTTTCAAAATCTCCCCCACCATTTCACCTATCGAAACATCGGTAATTATTTAGAAGTTTACTTTCCACACCGACCTTAATAATTTTTTTATATGTGGTGGGGGATGTAATTTTGAACAATTTTTTCCTTTTGAAGTATGTGGCGGTCTCCTTTAGTTTTGGAGATATTTGCAAAAAACTTTTGGTACTACTACAGGGAATTCGGCCCATGCGTGAGCGTCGATGAGAGCGCTCAGCGTTCGTGTTAGTAAGCGGTAGCCGACCGCTTATCTTTTGTTTAGACACGGGCGGCTAAGCATGCTGTTAGTTGAATGCAATAACTGAGGTGGCGCTGAAATCAGTTTCTGTTCGGTCTAATTTTCGATGAAACGTTGACTGTTTTACCGACGCAGAATTCGAAGTTTGGCCTCCACGCCGCAATTATTTAAACTTGACATAACTTTTCAGGGGGTAGACACGGGTAATGCAGCGAGGTGTCATTACCGGCAAAAATGGGCCTATTAATGGGTTTACGGGAATCGGTTATTTGTCCTTATATGAGAACACTTAGGGCTGGGTGAGGGCTCATTCGAAAGAGGAAGGTCCAATGCAGGGGGCTCAACCGATGGTTTAACGAGATTGTGTTGATATCTAATAATATAAGTGTCCAAAGTGGAGGAAAAATTGAGAAAATACGCCCGCTGAATCCAAGTACATTTTAGGTAACTATAAGAGTTTTGTGACTAAAACGATTTGTTGAGCCCCCTTCATTGAACCTTCCTCTTTCGAATGAGCCCTTATTCAGCTCAAGTTCTTCTCATATAAGGATGAATAACCGATTCCCGGAAAAGCATTCCCAAAGACGAGTTCCGCCATTATCTGGATACTACATAGCAAGTCACGTGACAAATTTAGTTCAGCTAGTAGTTATAAGGTGGCGTCTAAGTAGAAAGGCTATCGATTTGGAATCGTAGTCAGAATCAAGGAGTTCGAGTGGAGGCTTCGTTGAGGAAGGACATTAGAGAGCTTTGATAAAGGTGTTTATTTCGGGTAAATTGTGCCGTTTTCGAGCGTCTTGTGTTTGCTCTGGAGAGCTGGTTCTTTTCTTCCGGTGCTTTTCTTTTTGGTGTGCGCCTAGTCCGTAAAGGATACACTATTGTACTTTTAATATCGGGCGCGTGCCCTGGTGCATTCTCTGTCGGCATTCACCCCACGCTAACCTCGCCTGCGCTGACGGACGCCTTCCTCCGCTGTCCCACGGGGCCGGAGGCTCCTCCATCCACCATGATCATGGAGGTGGACAACCAGGGTGACTGGTCGTCGTTGGTCAGCCCTAGGAAAAAATCTCCAAATAAAAAGGGCAATAATCGTCCAGGTGAAGCTACAAAAAGGTGTGCGTCGCCAAACGCTGAGGATAACGGTACCACCAAGCGTAAACCGGCCACCATGTTGGATATCGCAGCGCCACCTCGCGCTTCTTTGAGGTACCCTGCGGAGTATAAGGGGTTGGCTACAGTTATCATAACCCTTAAAAACGAGCGTTGCAAGAAAAGCAAATCACAAAACATGATGGTAATTGCCAAGGCTGTCAGCACTTTAAAATCCGGTGCTCATTCTATGCAGCCGCGTGGATTCAACAGGGCTGAGGTTACTTTCACTAACTATAAAGAAGCCAACCTATTTCTGGATTCTCCCACTCTTCGTGACGCCGGCATTACTGCTTTTGTGCCTAGACAAAAGGTGGAAACAAAAGGCCTTCTTCGTCAGCATGGAGGAACTTGTGGAGCTCTCTCTCTCTCCCTGTAAGATTACTTATGCCAAACGTCTCAATAGGAGGATATGTGATCCGGTCTCTAAGGAAACATCTTGGATTCCCTCTGAAACTGTCCTCCTCACCTTTGAAGGCTCTATTGTCCCTGAGAAGATTCAGGTATATGGTCTTCTTAACAAAAGTATTGAACAGGTGAGAACCTGTTTCAATTGTGGAGGCTACGGGCACACTTCTACTAGATGCAAAGGGCCAGCTGTCTGCTTTGAGTGTGGAGAACACAAAAAAGAGGGGCAACACACCTGCAACGCAGCCATTGGTTGCTTACATTGTAAAGGCGATCACTCCACCTTTCATCTGGACTGTCAATCTATGATTTTCAACCAAGAGGTCAACCGTACCCTGGCTTTCTACGATGTTTCAATTTATGAAGCTCTTGCTCAAACCAGGGAGAAATTCGGCCTCAGCAAACAACGACCACAGAAGCAGCCTAATAATATTCCATCTAATCCCTCAACTTTTCCTACCCTTCCAGCTTCAACACCCAAAAAAGAGTACACCTTAAGAGTCATTGGTGGTATCCAGAAGGAACACACTAATAGTCAATGGAATAACAACACACTGAAAACATACTCTAAAAATAATTCTATCGTTGGCAGTACTTCTTCTATCGTCTCCCTGCCTCAGGAGTCTCCTCATAAAGAATCCTCCTCAGGCGCATCCAACTCCTCCGCTAAACTTTCATCACATTCTTCCAAACCTGTTTCATCTTCCCACACAAGCCGGGAAACCGCTCAACAGAGCAGCAATTTTAAAAACAAATCCCTTCCCACCAGCAAGTTTCTACTCAAGAACGTCTCTTCCTCCTCTTCAATCAACAAAAAATAAATCATCATGGATACTGGACAAACAGTCAACTTCAACGTGCTGTTCTGGAATTGTCGTAACATCGTCAGCAAGAAACCAGATCTTGAAAGAATTTCATCCTCATATGATGCTATTATATGTGTTGAAACTTGGTTCAAGGCCAACTTATCGTTTAACCTACCCGGATTTTCTGTGATTAGAAAGAATAGATCCTGCCGAAGGGGAGGTGGCATAGCCATCTTTCTTAGGAAGAATCTTCCCTGGTCTCACGTCAGCGCCATTTCCCTCGACGATGATTCGATGGAAACGCTCACCATCAAAATCAGTCTAAGTGACCTACACCTCACCATCTGTGCATGCTATAGACCTCCTTCTTCGGACTTCGAGCAGGACAAGTGGTACCAGCTCCTGCAAAACCTTCAACAGCAAGGACCATTTATTTTGGTTGGAGACTTTAACTGTCACCACGAGACATGGAATTGCACAAATAACTCCCGTGCGGGAGAACACTTGCTTCGAGTTTTAGAAGACACAGACTGCATGATACATAACACCAACACCTTGACATAGCTCGGACATTACAACCAGCAAGGCAGCAATCTCGATCTCGTAATATCTCCCTGCAACCTCGATCACAAAATCCTTACATCTCAGCTTAACGATCCTTGGGGTTCTGACCACTTCCCCTTACACATTTCCATCCAAACTACCCGGTTCATCTTCAAACAGCGCCGGAATAGAATTACTACAAAACGAACTGACTGGCATGCCTACTCTGCTCACCTTGAAAGTCTCGCTCTCGTTCTCCTCTCTAGAGAGTTTCTTGATTTACAACCCCTCGAACAATACTCTGCCTTCGTTGAAATGATTCAGCAATCTGCTGAATCTGCTACTCCAACCTCAAAGGGTCTTCCTCACGGTCGTCTTAATAATCCCGTTCCATGGTGGGATCAGGAGTGCAGCAAAGAGATTCGACTCAGAAAGGCCTGCCTCCTAAAATGGCGGCACACCGGCTCCTTTCAGGATTGGGTCGCTTATAGTAAGCAGCGGGCTTCTACAAGAAGAACTCTCAAGAAAAAAAAGAAAGAGAGCTTTCAAAAAATGGCTAGCGCACTGAACCGTCAGTCGAATGTGGGCCTCTTCTGGAAGCGGGTTAAAGTTTTTAAAGACAAGTGGACAAATTCTACCGTTCCCACTCAGCAGACCAGTCTCAAGGAATACCATATTCTGACCGACAAACTTTGCCCACCTTGGGCTCCTCGCCGTATCTCTGTCACTTCTCGAAATTTCAACGCTTTCCTTGACTCAGGTTTCACCCTGTTTGAGTTGAATACCGCACTGGATAATGTCAACTGCAAATCTGCACCAGGTCCGGACCGCATCGATTACCAGCTTCTCAAACTCCTTCCTCTCACGTGGAAGCTGTCTCTACTGGATATTTTAAACTCCATTTATGAGAACAACTTGTTCCCAGAACAATGGCATGACAATACCGTCTTCTTTATACCTAAGCCGAATCAGAAAGGTCTTCGCCCTATCACATTGTCTTCCAACTTATGCAAGTTGCTTGAGAGGTTAATCTCTCAGAGACTCTACTGGTGGCTCGAATCTAGCGGCCTTCTGCCTGAGCTTCAGTCGGGCTTCCGTAAAGGCAGATCCACTGCTGACAATATTCTTGCCCTCACTATCCTGGCTCGCACCAACCTTCCTAATCGGCGCACCACAGCTGCTGCCTTTATTGACATTGAGTCAGCCTTCGATCGTGTCTTACCAGATCTACTGATCGCAAAATTAGAATCAATAGGAATTTCCGCCAACCCCCTTCACTTTATCGCCAACTTACTCTCGGGCGGAAGATCTGACTTTCAAGTTCGAGATGATCGTGGCTGCCCGCTCGAGATCACACGACACATGAATATTGGTGTTCCGCAGGGCGGCGTCCTCAGTCCCCTGTTGTTCATCCTCTACATTGCAAACATTGACGGCAATCTTCCTCATAACATTCGAGTATTTAAGTATGCTGACGACATAGTTATCTGCGCCTCTGGCGAAGATACGAGCAGTGCCACTGCATCCTTAGAAAATGCCGCCAACATCGTGAGTAAAAACCTCGAACTATTAGGCCTCAGTGTTTCAACACACAAAACTAAACTTCTGGTATTCAACGGCAAGTGCAACTCTATTGGTACATCCTCCATTATGATAGGTGATTCAGTCATTTACAATTCCTCCTCAGTTAAATTCCTTGGCGTCCATCTGGATCAGAAACTTAACTTCTCCCACCATATTACTGAGTTATGTGCACATACTCGCAAGATCCTTAATGTAATTAAATTTCTTCGTGGCACCTGGTGGGGTGCTCATCCTGACACTCTACTTTCCATCTACAAGGGTCTCATCCGCTCTAAGATAGAATATTGTCTGCATATCTTCTCACCTCAGCAGCAGGGGCTCCTTCAAAAACTGGAAAGAATCCAACTAGCAGCCACTAGACTCTCGCTAGGTCTGAGAAACTCCACACCAATCAACGTCACCCTTGCCGAAGCTAAGCTTCCCCCTCTAGCTCTTCGAGCTGAGTACCTTGGTAAAAAGCACATAACAAAGATATATTTGTAAACACTGATCACTTCCTCAATTGTCTACTTGATGCATACCTGTCCAGCATTGACAATCTCAGTCCTCGGATTCGACGTCCTACCAACCTTCTTACTCGTATCGTTCAACTAACCTGGACCTTAAAACCTCTTCTTGTCAACTCTAAGGAGTGCTTGTTTGGGTCTTTTCAAGAACAGTCAGCACTCCCAGATCTCTGTGACACCTCTACGGGGTACACCCTGAAGCAGGCAGTAGATATCAATTCTAAATTTCAAGAAATTGTATCTACTAAGTATGGCGGTTCCATCCCAATCTACACAGACGGTTCTAAAACTCCAACAGGAATTTCAACTGGAGCTGCTTGGTTCTGCCCCGAGCTTGAACAGGCAGAAACTATGAGCATTCATTATCACGCTTCAGTTTTCACTGCTGAATGCTTAGCTATTTCCAGAGCTCTGGACTTGGCAAGGAATCATCCTGATATGGCCTTTACAATATTTACTGACTCGTTGAGCTGCATCCTTGCCATTCAAAATCCGGTCAACTGTCAGACTCACTCCTACGCAAGAGAAATCTCCAATAAAATCAACAGCTTTGGTGGGGTCTCCCTCCCACATAAACCCAGACTTGTTTGGATTCCCTCTCATAATGGCCTAACCGGCAACGAAGAGGCTGATAAACTAGCTAAAAGGGCCACAGAAGTTGCTCACCACCCTTACTGGAAGCTTCCTCCTCAGGACATGCTCAGGTCTACGCAAGTCAAATGTGGGAATCTGCAGATGATGCCTGGAAGAATAAGTCTCAATCAGGTACTCCGAACCCGACTGGCATAAAATACTTCTCGACATTCTTTCAAAGCAAGAGAAAGCCTTGGTTCACTGGAAAAAATTTACCGAGGATATTTACCTCGTGGGTCTGTCGAGCTTGCTCCAATCACTATAGTCTGGGTGAGTCTCTCTTCAAGATCAGGCAAGCAAGCAGCCCCCTTTGTCGTTGTGGAATCATGGAAGACAACCTCAACCACATACTCTAGCAGTGCCCTCTTCTGGATCGTCACCGTCTTGAACTTACCAGTAGTCTTCGTCGACAGGGCTGGCAACCTCCCTGGTGCATAGAAGCTTTTCTCTCTGGTCCGCATCTCAAGGAACTAAATATTATCACCCGCTTTTTACAGAAAAACAACATTTCTATCTAGCTATTTTTGTACATATTAACAAAGATTGTTCATCTCCGTTTCACTAACTCTTTTACGAACAAATCGTAGATATGTAATACTTATTTTTGTACCAGATCAATGAGCTCCGACGGAGCTTACGATCTTATTTTTTCAATAAATACAATACAGTAGTCAGAATCAAGCGTTAGCTTGATTATGTCACTCGAACTGTGCTACGAAGGCAAGCGAAAAAGGCAACATCGCCCGAACGCTGAGTGAGACGCACTACAGACATGCTGTCCTTCTCTCATTCTGAATGTTGAGATTGTCATTTTCGCTAAGATTTGACTGCCGCCCGCCTGGATTTTTCACAGCGCCCCATAACAAACCTAGCCCCATTCAAATTATATCGTGTGTGGTATCATTTTAATCAGAAAAATTTTCCCAATGCGCTAGTAAAAATTTCAGTAAAAAAAAGTCAAAAATAAAAAAGTTTTATAATTGAATTAGTATTAGTTACACCGATACGTTTCGGCTCTTTCCTTTGATCATTAGACCGCTCTCTCTCTCCTCCACTGTCTGTCCCTTTCTACGTTCTCGCTTGGCTGGTCGTCGCATCTTATTGCAATGAACGTAATTATATTATTTTGTCGATTCGTCGATGCTGCTGCCACGTGCTTTGGCGGCTTGAGCATCGAGCCGATAACGTAGAAATGACGAGAGCAGCCGAACGGAGAGCTCATACGGACACGTGGGACAACACACTTGTGTTAGATGGAACAACTGAAGTAGGGGAGTCACTGAGACGTCGTGGAGAGGGTAAAAATTTGTCCCACGTCCCACAGTTCTGGCATCACTGGCTGGGAGTCCGCGAGGCAGATAGAGTAGGGTAGGTGTTGATATATTCAGACCGGACTCCCGAGTTGTTGCCACTTTTATTTCAGCACGGCTAGTACTATAGTCGGCTGTGATTAGAACTGTTGCGTATGGATTTGGATATTTAGGGATATTTGGGATGTAGAAGAAACGTGGGTAAGGTACCCGTGGGGCGCTAAAGCACCGTGCTCGCGGGGCGCGAAATGAGTTCAACAAAACCGCTGTTCACTGTTGTTCTAATACTGGTAATTTCAACTCTTTATTTAATAGTCTTGTAATTATGTTTCAAAATGTGCCAATTTACTTACCAATTTATCCAGAGAACGAAATAGTTTCATTTCAAAACTTCTTGAATGACTAATTTATTACAGACCGTATCAAATTCGTTGTTTTTGACCAGGTCACGGATGGTCCTTGAAAGTTACGAAGTCTTTTCCGATATCCTGTCTTTTCATGTTCTTTAAGAGGGTCGTAAATTTCCTCAAGGGTTGTCTTTTGCCAGTACAAGGCCTTATCGTTTCCCGTTTTCTCTGGGTCCCACGCTCTCTCGTAGCGCATGTGCGCTGTAACGTTCTAGCATCTTGGCGGAGCGCCTCCACCTCCACGCGCCTAAGGGTGGACCATAGCCAGGAGAAGGGGCCTACACCGGACGGAGTGGATTCCTTCACCGTTGGACGAGAGCTGATCCTGAGACAGGATCTAGGATCCAGCGAAGAAGGGATATCGATCAGCATCACGCGAAGATCTCCTCCGCCAAGCACAGAATGAGGAGATCGATTTTGATATTCGAACGCTACAAATCGCTCTCACATAGCTAGAACGTTTTGAGTACTTTGTTATTTTTTGAGCGAAGCTTTTCTTGGCGCGTTCGGCAATAACATCGACTCGAGGGAACGTTGCGATTCCCTTAACTCCTACTCCCATCCGTCGGGCCCCTCACGGCTATTTCTCTCACATTCACATGTTTTCAAAATAATTATTAGTGTTGCGTGTCTGTTTAGCGAAAATAGGGATTTTCGGGATCTTAAAGGCGCAAGTTGGGTAATCTGTGAAGCGCTGAGGCGCTCCGCTCGCAAGGCACGGAAAATGATTTTGATAAACTGAAGTTCACTGTTTTAAGTTCGATATTTATTAGTCAAACGTGAAAAAATTGTGGAGTTCCAAAAATGCGCTTTTGCAACGTGAGGACAACTCGTCAGATTCAAACGACAAAATCATTCTGATCATTCTACGCTTGGCAGAGGAGATCTTTGCGTGATGTCGGTCGATACCCTTTCTTTGGTGAATCCAGGATCCTCCCTCAGGATCATCCCTCGTCCAATGGTGGAAGAGTCCACCCCGTCCTGTGTAGGCCCCTTCTCCTGGCTGTGGTCCACCCTGAAGCGCGTGGAAGTGGAGGTGCTCCGCCAAGACGCTAGAACATTGCAGCGCACATGTGCTACGAGAAAGCGTGGAACCCAGAGAAAATAGGAAACAACAAGACCTTGTACTTAGTTGGCAAAAGGCAACACTTGAGGAAATTTACGACCCTCTTAGAGTGCATGAATAGACAAGATATCGAAAAAGACTTTGTGACTTGGTCGAAAACAACGAATTTGATATGGTCTATCATAAATTAGTCTTTTAGGAATTTTCGAAATGAAACTATTCCATTCTCTGGATTTCCGACCTTCTCTCAGCTCGATCACCCACGTAGAGGGGTTTACAATTTAGTGTTTGTCTATTTTATATATAAGTGTACCCGCAGATGGTTTAAATTCCGCTCTTAATCACCGACGAGATACAAAATTGCCTCGAAATAAGCAAGTGGTTCGGGACCGAACAGTTGCTTATTTCGAAGCAGGTTGCTACTCGGCTTGACTTTGTTCTTGAAACGAGACGATAGAGAACGCGAGAAACGAGTGAGAGATCCGAGGTAGCAGCAAATCATAAAGTGATCGGTCGAGCAGCAATGTTATTTTTTGAACAAGGATAGAATATACCATGCCCTCTCATTATCGCACTATGCTTTATTTCGAATCAAATATACCAGCCTGAGAAAGCATTATATATATTCCATCCTTCTTCTACTAACCAATGTCACTACTCAGTCAAATTTATTACCCTAAACATCGGCTTCGCGCTTTCATGGACCTCTCACTCATTTCTCGTACCTCTCATTTTGCGGGCGACTTCAAACAAAGAAGAGGGGATAGCGAGTTGCTTATTTCGAAGCAATACTGTACTGTTAAAGACTGCCATCCTTATGGAAGTTCGCGGCTGCGAAAAAATTCGATGTTTTCTTACGCCCTCTAGAATATATTGCGGCCGCAGTAAGAAACAGAACCAGAATCAGTGAGTTTACCAACGGCGAGGTTCGGTGCTGAACTGTATCATGAGACATGAGATGATATTTTATCTGGTAAATGCTATTATTATTTCTTCGGTGATTCGAGTTAAGTTCGTTTTACAAACCTTTCGGAGATACTATTTAAGACGTAAAATATTTTAAAGGAGGTAACTTAATAACTCTCTTTAGTTCATTGGAAATTATTTTTTTAATAAATGACGAACTCTAGTTCTAAGTTTAGGGTATGTGTGTTTAAGGTAAAAGAATATTCATTTAGAAAAAATAATGAAGAGATAAAAAAATTAGAAAAAAAATTATTTTCTTCTGATTTCATTTAGAAATCATTTAGAAATAAAAATGAATAAAAAATATTACATAGGTTCTGTAGGATATAATCAATAATAATAATGTAATAATCATAATAATATAATAAGTAACAGGAGTCGAAAAGAAGAGAAATGTATTTCAATAAAATCTTTTATTTAATAGTAAGTAAAAGCTGGATAAGTGCAACAAAAGATTGTCTGGATAAGTGCAACGTCGCTGTCCTCTCCACTTGGGGGGACCCCCCTAGGCAAACCGAGATGCTCGACCAGGAAGCCGTGTAATGTGATCCGAACCGTAATATCGGTGTGACTAATAGTAATTCAATGATAAAACTTTTTTATTTTTAACTTTATTCCATGTTTGATTGTGAGTCGAGCAACACACGGTGCGATTGATAGCAAAAATTGTAAAAGTAACTAAATCGCGGTATTTTCAGTGTTAGATTTGTATTCCACGAAACAATAAATATCTAAAATTACCACAATAGTATATACAAAGGGTATAGCCGGATAAGATGGTCAAAAGTGCCCCCAAACCAAATTCGACTTGCTATGAATCATTCGATAGGCGATCAAAAAAAAAAACAGTCTGTGCCAAGTTTCAACCCTGTATCTCATCTGGGAGGGTAGTTACGGGTAAAAATGTAATCGCGAAGTTTTTGGCCAATTTCTCCTATTTAATGACATTTGAAGATTCTGAAAAAAATCAGAGACATTTTTATTTGTGAGGCACATAATACAGATCTGGATTCAGATCCGCGACTCCTTCCATACAAAATCGCCATTTTTCAGCATTTTTTGACGTTTTTGATTTTTCACGGCTTCAGTTTTCAATCTAAAAATCTGAAAAAATTCTGTATTATGTGCCTCACAAATAGAAATGCCTCTGATTTTTTTCAGCATCTTCGAATGTCATTAAATAGGAGAAATTGGCCAAATTGGCGTGCCGAACTTTAACACAGGGGATGGCAGTCTTTAATAGTATCTCGTCGGTGTCTGTAGTCACTGGACCAGCTTAGAAATAAGTTGCGACTGTGAATACCGGCCTATAAGTTTGTTTTATAATAAATTGTTTGGATTTGCGTCTCAAGCACCCCAGCGGCAAACGCGCGGCTCGCGAGAGAGTCTAGCTGTGTTGTACACGTGGGTGCTGATTATACGTAGAGAAGGGTTGAGAACACAAATGAACGAAACAAATACGATTATGTAGATAAACACAAAACTTTATTATAATAAAAATGAATAAAGTAAAAATAAACGATGATGTGTAAAAAGAGTGCACGTAGAGCTCGGCGTAGCGAAAGCAAGGACATCGACTAGTCGCGAGGTAGCGTAGACAAAGAAGTGAGAAAAAATCGGAGAAAGCGAAGAAAGCTCGCGTTCGTAGGGGGTGTGAAACCGGTGCGTACGTAGCACGCTAGAAGGTTGCACGTGGTACGAGGACTTGCTTCCGCTCGTGGTGCTGCCGCCTGTCGGACAGCAAAGCAGACTCCATGGACTGTGACGGTTGATCAAGAGACGAGGGTGCCACAAAATAATTGTTGTGCGCATGCGCAAAATATACTCAGGACTCCTGCCAACAGAGAGCGTATCGGCGCGTTACGCATAGCGGAAATCGTTTGAATTTTCTGTTTCATATTCTATGGGCAAAAGTTCTTTTAATTTTTTGGAGCAACTGTCATTGTAATGGTCTTTTATAATAAAATAAGGTACCATGCAAAAAGTATTTGAAGGAATTATGTAATAACAAAAATAACACAAGATAAATATTAGATAAGTATTTATTAATTAAACGATATCTGTAGATACTGTTGATGACCACGGTTTCTACAATGAGGATGGTTGTGTTAGTCATGTCGGTATCGGTAGAATTCTATGTATTCTGCGAAAGTTTTTAATTAATATTTCCAAAACTACTGAGCTGATGTGGATACCGTTTTAAATTTGGAGTCTTCCCCCTCTCCTGGGGCAATTCAAATAATAATGTTTTTTCGTTAATTATTAAATTTGAAATATTTATTTTTCATTTTTAACTATTTCTTAATAAATGTTTATTTTTGTACATATCTGGGTATTACTAAAATTATGTAATTTATAAATATGATTTTAATCCATAAAAATTCATCTGTCTCTATAGAAACTTATTTTTAAAGTCTTTATATTAGAATACATGTGGATAATTATTTACTCATCGTTAGTAATCTGACAATAAGTCTTGCTCATATTGTATGTTCTGCATTACAGTAGTTTAATGTGTAAAAATGATATAAAACTCCCTAAATATGATAACATTTTTTTATTTCTCTAGCTTTGTTTATAATGAGACGACATAATATCAGTTCATGGCATACTGTTTTTGCTTCTGCAACATCTGTGTAAATACAGATTTTAATACACCAAGTCTAAAAAAGGGAAAGATGCTGAATGTTAAAAACCAAGTGCACTTATGTAAAACGCAAATATTTGTAGCATTTCTTTTGATTGTTACATATAAAGTATTGCAAAAAAATACAGTAAAAAATGTTATCTGAAATTGATATATACAATGTAATATGTATGCAATATATAATAATTATATACATGCATGAACTAATTAAATTCTCCTGAATTTATTTACAAAAGTGAATTAACTTTGAAATTGAATTTATGCATGTGCATTGGTGATCAGTCAGCTTTAAATGAAAGCATACTTTCCAATTTACATTAATTCGAATCTATATAATTATTTGTTGTAAAAACCTGCATGTAGATACATAAAGTTGAATATTTAGTACAAAATTTTAAGTGGAACAGAAGAAAATATTGATACTTGGTCTTTACAATTAAAATGTTACATTATTATAAATAAAACTTTATAAACAAAAGTTATTACTCTTAGCAAGTATTAGTATTGTATTGAATCTAGTAGCTAATATGTTTGATTGTGGTATTGAAACGTATCTATTAAAATATTTGAGGGAAATAATAAATAGAGCAAGTATAAAATTAATAATATGAATTCTAAAAGCTAGTACTGATTTTTTTCTCTAAGACATGTTCCTCCTTTGCTTTTTTGTTATAATACTATTTATAATTTTATTACTTTTCATAAATCAAAAATACATTTAATATATAATATATAAAACAAAAATGAAAAAGAAAAATGCTTAGCTCTGCATCATGCAGAAATAATTGATGTATCCACGATATTATGGTTTCTGTACTGTTTTCTTTGTTTCGTTTTAGATTTACAGTCTTCATAAACTGCTACCATGTACATCTATACATTTCATTTTATTTTTTTCTCACTTTATTGCTACTACTATATCGTTTTATTATGCATATGTCAAATTATTGTTGTCTATTATTGTTGTGAAAACATGTATTCTGCGAATACATCCAATGTTCATACAATATTTGTATCGACAAATACGAATGATCTGACACAACACATTAAGTTCATTTAACTTGCATTACACATGTTTATTTATCAGAAGCATCATTTTATATCTATTAATTAGTAAAAAAGTCATTGGTAGGTTCACAAGCAATTAACTTTCAATTTAATGATCATGAATGCATGAATTTATTCAGTATAAAGTGTGTGTTTCACTTAGGAAATCTTGACAGGATTGATGCAAGTGTTTTAATTAATTATATAAATTAAGATGACCCAAGAGGATTGTATTTGCATAAACATTTAAAAATTATATGTATTTGAACAAATAAGTTTGAAAAATTAAACTAGAAAATGAACTTAATCGATAAGCTTTTTTGCTAATGTAAGTTATATTTTCATTATTGCTATAAAAATATGATATATACAAATTATATTTTGATCTATTCGATAAAATAACAGCAAAATTATTGAGTGCTATGATTCTGATGAATTATTATGTGTAATGCTATATTACAATTATCAAAGAAATCTACTAAAGAATTTATTAAATTACTTATACGGCACAATTGAAACATGCCCAATTTACAGTTGCATCAACCCTCTTTGTATTTCCTTTAAGTGGAACATTTCATGCTCCATTCACACTAATAATTATATGTGACACTCTTAAATATAAATTATAATCATTTTGGTATGCTTTTTGAAACCTCAAACAACATTATTTCTATTCAATATAAGCAACAAATAATTTTGCTTGTATAAACAGTTACCAATAAATTAATATTTGTTCAAGGTTTCAAAACAACAGTAACATGCACATTTCTTGTTCACACTACTTATTATATTCAATCGGTGTAGTATGCTCATTTCATTTTTCTTTCCGATAATAAAAATACAAGCAGTATAATGAAGGTTGTAGAACTCAATGCTATACGCGAATTTTAATTGGTACGTGTGTACATTATTGTATGTTAATTTGTTTTTTTTTCTATTTGTATACAATTAATGTTGTGTCTACATGTACGGTGTGGGACACACGCGAAGTATGTGGATGTGTGTTCCGTCTCTCAACAAGACACCACGAAGTGAGTCATGACATAATACTTGAGACTATAATGTAATGTGTAAGGATAGCTGGAACCTCACACTTTTATTGATCATAAATTATGTTCAGTGGCATTGCTATAAAGCCTGAATCATTTCCATACCCCTACCTTAATATTTAACTCTGGGGTTTGGCTCTTTATAAGAAATAATCTGGTGTCCGCCTAGTAACATGTGGTTCTCCGCGTCTTGGAGCTGGATCAAATTGAAGGCTAAAAGAAAAAAATGGCAAAAGTTATTTCGAGATAACTGATTTTAAAGGCTGTTATTTAAAACTTACAATGAATATTTTAAAGCATCATCTAATTCCATGATTGCAGCTTGATTTCCACAACGATAGCAATAGTTAGGTGCTGAGAATATAGTTACAACATTACGATCATGACACCTGTAATGACAAATATATTGATGAGATACAACATTTTGTAACAACATATGTATAATATATCATAGAGTACATTATATAATACAAACTAAATGGTAAGTGAATAATTTCAATAAATATACCAATTGTAGCCCTCCATAACTAACTGATGTGCTCGTGACACTAATGTCAATCCATTAGAATGATTAAAAGTTTCTGAGATATCTTGTCCAAAAGTATACCCTGCCCCACGAGGAGAAATACCCCACCCTCCTCTATCATCTGGATCTGACCACAAAAGATCACACATTGGACCCTAAAAATACAAATAAATATATTTTTTACTCATTCTTTTCAATCTTAAGAGAATGAATATAAACACCAACCTCGTGTGGTACTTCTTGAAGACGATCTAGGGCACGTATGTGATCTAAAGTATCAATGGAAGGTGATAAACCGCCGTGTAAACAAAATATTTGACCATCCACTAATGCAGTTAATGGTAAATAATCGAACAGATCCGTAAAGAATTTCCACACATTCGCATTGCCATATTTACGTAAACATTCATCGTAAAATCCATATACTTGTGTTATTTGTCTGGATTCATGATTTCCTCGTAAAATAGTTATTCTCTCTCGATATCTGACCTACAGAAATAAAACTGATTCATTAATCGACGCGAATAAATTTTCAAATAATAGATAATTCCTATCATACAACTTACCTTAAGCGCAACAAGCAAGGTAACAGTTTCAACGGAATAATAGCCACGATCCACATAGTCACCCATAAAAAGATAATTTGTATCTGGAGACTTGCCTCCTATTCTAAACAATTCCATTAAATCATGGAATTGCCCGTGTACATCTCCGCACACTGTTACAGGACATTTTACTTCTTGTACATTGGACTCTTTAGCTAAGATTTCCTTTGCCTAAAAAGATATGTTAATTCTCTCAATATGTATAATTATATAATACATTTATCGAAAATTTTTAAATAATAAAATAAATTTATACAATTTATTTACTAATGAAGAATTATAAAATTATATGTTGATTTCTCTTGATAGAACAAAATTTCTCATTTCATGTTTTAATTATACAAGTAAAATATACACAAACTTGTTAAATAAGAAAGCAACTTAAGAAATTTCGGTGTTAAATCACAGGTATGCTAGACATCGAAACATAAAAATCAAAGTGCATCTTATATACTGGAAACAAAATCTGACTAAAGTAAAAATAATATCGTCGGTTCATTTGACAAATAAACTAATTTTTCAAATACGAACAAGTTGTAAGTAGTAGAAACCTGAATAACAACGAAGATGGTCGTTTCGGCGTTCGATCATGATCAAATCAGATTTTCACGAAAATTGAAAATTTTGTAAAATCGCAATTTGTAAACAGATATCGATAGTTTTTCTTCTCCTAGACGATATCCAAACGTATAGCAATGAAATTTGTAATAACACATCAAAGCATGCTTACTGGTCTTGTAAAATACGAGTAGATGAACATAAAACAGCGAAACAGAATGAATCGTGAAACAAAGCGAAAAAGATACTAATTTAAGAAGACAAATAGAAATCAATAAAGATAACGAATATAATACCTTCTCGCAGAGAGTTTTTACTTGGCTTTCTGTTAGTTGTCGGCAGTCATTTAATTGTTCTATCCACTGGTCGAGTTCCTTCAACGATGCTTTCTCCTCCATCGTACGATTCTATGTCGAGTCTACGAATATTCCACACTCTTAGCACATGTAATAAAAGTGATGCGAGTCTCGTCTCGTAAACTAAATCATTCGGTTTTACTGAAAAAGCTTCTTAACACAAATATCCTGATCCAGCACACACTCACAAAATGGCCGATGCGAGTACTGACGATGACGTCACATTCAATTCATGCGTGCTTCACTATCTATAACCTGGATTATCACATCGACCAATTACAATACGCGTTTATCCTATTTCAACCAATCACAATTTAATTTTACTATTGTCGTATGTATACCATTGTATACCTACTGTAATACCATTATGACTACATCGTTTTAACGACGGTGATTATATGCATACGTCTTTTTCAGAAACATTAATTTTTTAGTGATGTATTAGTGTGAGATAAGATTCGATATAAATAAAAGAATTATTTAACCACAAACGTATAAACGTAAAAGAATATTTCAATATAAAACTATTTACGAAACTTTACCGCTAATTTAATTCATATCGTATCATACATGTTGCGCATTTGTTTGTTACTATACGACATAAGAGCCCGCGAAATTGAATCGATGAGATACAATTCTGCGAACACTAAATATATGATTTTAAATATAATTCTTAGGATATATCAGACTTTTCATTTTAAATACAATTATGTAATAAATATAATTATTTGATCAAAGCACTTCATCCATAAAAAAATATTTTTGTGATTATATAAGACTGAATAAATAATTTAACTTTTCGGTTAAAAATAAATTTTTTAAAACTGCGAAATAAAACAAGTAACTTTGTAAATATTGAAATATAATTTTATATTTCTATCTCTGACCCCTTTTTTAGAGAATGACCCATTACTGTCCAAGTATACACTTACGAATTTCACTTTCTGCCACTTATATTTTGTAACGTGGCGGGATGGACGCTGCCGCGCTACTTCGCCTGGCGTTCTAGGCTTTATTCGTCCCTTTTTTCTTCGGGCATTTTGGTTTTGCCACTCTCCTCCCTTGATTCCTCCCTGGAGCTTGCCAAGGGAGACTCTACCTGCCCCCCCCATAACCCGCGGTAGTAAAGAGTTCCGGAAGCCTCCCGGACTAAGGCCCATGAAATGACGGCGAGCCCTCTTTGAACCCTTCGACCCCGGCAACAACCACCACGTGGGAGATCCCCGAGGAAGAGCCCGAAGACCGAAACGGAGGTTTCCGTAATTTGGTGGCAAACCACAATATCGAGAGTATAAAGCGAAAAGAAACGAATCAGAAAAAATCCGAAGACTCAACGTACGAATACCCGATAAGTCGACGCATTCCTTACCTTTTTTAACTGACTTCGAAAAAGGAGAAGATTACTCAATTCGATTAGTATGTATTTTTTTTTCTTTTAATGTGTGTTCGCCGATTTCTCCGAGACGGATGGACCAGTCGGAACGAAACCTTTTGCATCTTGTAAAGCATGTCTCCCAATTGGTTCCGTAAAAAAAATATGTTGCATTTTCTCATTCCTAATGACTTTTATCGCAAACAACGTAATGCTTCATTTATATTTTTCGGGGTTTACACTGCAAGGAACGTACCAATCGCGATGAAACCTTTCACATTTAATAGGAGATACTCGTATATCTGCAATGATCCCACTTGCAAAAATTTATGCAATTTGTTATTGTTATTGCTATAACAATATAGTCATTAACAATAACAAATTCTTTAAATTTTTGCAAGTGGGATCATCGCGGAAGTATCTCCTATTAGATGTGAAAGGTTTCATCGCAATCGGTACATTCCGTGTAAAGTAACACCATGAAATAGGGTTTTCGCTATAACAATAGTTATTAAAATTAAAAATTAAAAGTACTTAAATAAATGATGTTGCCAATAACGATTTGATTGCGGTATGGTGATCTTAGTTAATTAATAATAGTTAATTAATAAAGTCGTAAGGTGTAGGAGAGAGAAACGCGCTTTAGGTCTCGGGATCGTCTGTCGGACTCGTTCAGTGGGGCTGACAACAGACGATCCCTGTCCCAAACACCTATTGTTTATTCCTCACGTTTGGTTTAACGAGAGGTCGGGACCAGTCGGGACAACTTGAGGATTGGTAATGATATCCAAATAAATTGACCCGTTGCAATTTGTACTTGTAGTTAATTATAATTTTTTAATGTTATCATACTTCGGTTAAACAATTTTGTTGAGTATTTAGTTTTCGGAACTTATCCGTTCGACAGAAAATGTTGTTTTCGATGTGAGTTGTTTCACGAGAGTGTTTTCACGAGAATGGTCTGAACTATAATGTCTAATTAGGGAACTTGCTTCAGGTTTTTATATTCTGGGCAAGGAGTACAATTTTCGGATGAGCCATGCCTATTGGCCTGATTTTTGTGGAGGTAGAAAATATTCCTTATGCGTTGTCAGGGGTGCCTTAGTGACGTATGCGGTGGGTCCGCGTGTACTCAGTGACCGTAGCGAGCAATAAAATTAAGCAATACCTCGACATGAATAGAAAACTGCAAACAAAGACTCTACTGTTAAGGTTAAGGGTTCTGGCAACCAGATGTGACTAATAAACCAAATTACTAGATAGGATGTAACGATTCCTTGGGTCTTATTGCTGCTACAGGTAAAGATCTATTGACTTGAAAAAATGTATACTGTTTGTAAGCGAACTTGAATTAAGGTCTAATCCTCTCGTTGAATATTTTATTTTACTACCTAACAAAAATAACGTGAATAACTCATCCAAATTCGGGTTTACGACAATCACCTTCATAATGGATATTGTTGGTTTAACACCTATCGTACCGCTATTCGGAACTTACATATATATTCGAACGACATGCCGAACGAGCGCTTGCGAGAGTACTGTTCAATCTCGCCGCCACCTAGCGCTCCCCGGCCCGAACTCGAGGCGTCCGGGGAGACGAAACTCTCTTCCCTCCACTAAACGCCCACAAAGGAAAGATTTGGAACGTTATAGATACGGCCACAGCCGACTCTAGTACTAGCCGTGCTGAAGTAAAAATGGCAACACCGCGGGAGTCCGGTCTGAATATATCAACACCTACCCTACTCTACCTGCCTCCCGGACTCCCAGACTCTCAGCCAATCAACGTCGTCAGACTCCCGACTACTCTCTGGACTTCACATAACCTCTTTGGTTTCGTTCCAATAATTTCGCTTGTTTCAAGGTTTTTATTAACTTATATACACGTTTATCAATTCTTAAATGTTTCAATTTGATCCAAAGATGGTTTCATTTTGCTTCATACCTAAATTTTCTTGAAACCACTGTAAATATTTCAAATATCATGCTTCACAACACCAAACTACTTTGAGAGTACACAAAATATATATCACATTTATAACAATTTTATACTACCACATCACTTCTATTTGCCATAGTTGCAACGTTTATATATTGTTTATACATAATTAACACCAAATAGTGTATATTACTACAGCTTTTAATTAAAAAAGACGTTAATTACAATTCCGAGCACAGGACTCTGTTTTTGAAAATAGGACTCCCGATTGTCACGTGAGCGGTGTTGCCACGTTGTTCAGCATGGCTAGTAGTAGAGTCGGCTGTGATACGGCGGAAAACATTTGTAATTGTAACGATTGTATCAGAAGTTGGCAACACTTCTGATGTACAACTGACGATGAGTTGCATTGAACTTGTCGCAGTGAAGTTGGCTACAAATTCACTAACACATTCACGCTGCGTCGGTGAGACGATGGGCGAGATAGGCTCACCGACGCGGCGTGAATGTGTTAGTGAATTTGTAGCCAACTTCACTGCGACAAGTTCAATGCAACTCAGAGTACATACATGCATGTAGTTAATCCGCAATGGGTATGTTGATTCACGTTGGATATTGTTTACTTGAAATTATTAAATGTATCATTTGTCATAGATTGTCAACGCCTGAATTAGGATCTTCCTAGTAGACGAAAAGTTTTTAATTTTGCGCCGCCTTCGAAAAGGTTGAAATGTATTTAATATAGTATTTAACGATCAAATAGGTTTTATTAATAGCTGTGGAGTATTGGTATAAATGAAATAACTTTTACGCAGTTGTATAAACGAAATATAAATTATTTTACACTTTTTAGCGCATCTCGAAGTCGGTTGTATTTTTTGTTAAAAATTATTTTATTGTCAGAGAAAAGTCGGTAAATCAGTAAATCGCATGTAAAGCCACGTAGGGATGGGCAATATGTTTCGATTAATTAAATATCGATAGTTTTTTCCTAATAATCGATTATTTTTGTCAATGTTTCTGTAAATCAATTAATCGATTATCGATACTTTTTTCCACAACATCGATATTTTTTATCTCTGTGAGAAAACTTAACAGCATGATAACGCGACGCGCATTATTCAATCAGCGTATAATTTTCGAGAAATGTTCATTGGGTATAAGTCGTGTTCCGAAATTCACTGCCAGCACTGAAAATCTATAATACGTAGCTAGATTCCAGCACTAGCACAGCACTAGCAGTGAATTTCGGAACGCGACTAAATAAGAACGCCACACGCATTTGTGGCGTTCTTATTATATTCTTGTAACTCTTATTAATTGTTCTTCATTCCTATTCTGTGATCTTAGATTTAAAAAATTATCTTATCCAAATACTCCATCTATAATTTTCTGTATCATCTCAATCCTTTTGCATCTGTTTTGCTATTGCAGGTACAGTGACTTTTTATAATGTACGCATGATATTTTGAAGTTTATGCTGCTTATGCATATCTATTCTTAGAATATCCCATTCCCTATAGATTTAATAAAAACATTTTTTCTAGTCACGAAGTCAACCCTGTTGCACTTACAGCTCAAGAACCCGCAAAATACTATTACTACTTGGGGGAATTCATTAATATTCTTCGAAGTTAACTTTAAATGTACGATTCTGATTTAAATATATTTTTTAGTAAAACTTAAATAAGAAATATAGTGTAATATTTTTTGTTTACCTGTATTTGCATTTTCTAGACTACGTTCTAGGAAATGTGCTTAGGCTGGTGTTTCCAAAAGCAGCCCTATTAAAAAAGAATTCGATATTTCGATATTTTTTTCGAACATTGCCCATTCCTAGTCCGGAGTTCGACAGCGCCACTGACCTCAAGACCCCGTGAGCCATAGATGACTCCAATTTGTA